TTCTTGTAGTCGACGGCTCGCTCGTATTTTGAATCGAACTTATAGGGTTCGATTGTGTCTCCAGCACATGATGGCTGTGCCGACAGCGGGAAGTTGCCCATGGACGGCTTCCCGCCAGTTCCCGAGTCATGGAGAGCAGAGAATCCAGTCACGTTCGAGAAATCGTATGAGAAGCCTGCAGTATTGGCACCAGATACATCGGCTACTGCCTTAGCCATGCCAAAAGGTAGGGAAGCTCCAGCGAAGACATTGCCGCCATTGTACGACCCTATCAGCGGGTTTACCAAGTTGAAGTTGACGGAAGTGCCTTGAGCTTTTGCGATGGTGCCGAGAGTGAGCAATGCCAGCCCACTACTATAGCCGTGGCACATTTTTGACGATGTAGGATCATGAGCCAGATGAGATGGAGTGACAAGAGATGCTTGGGATGCTTGGAATGCTTGGGATGCTTGGGTATTACAGTTTCATAGCGTGCCATCCTTGGATGCTACACTGCATCTTCGCCTTCCCTGTTCGATGCGCGATCTTGGACGATCTCCCGGGGTGGAGGCAAGAGGGGCTGACATGTCGGAATTATCGGATGCCCTCGACATCATAGAGAATATTGGTATACGGCAGAGTCTTCAGCTGACATGTCATGAATGGTGAATGAGAGAGAGAACGGAGCAGTCGGCGGAATTTCGTGGCGTCAATGCCGTCACAGCGCAGCCGCAGGGCAGGGCAGGGTGCATTGTTAGAGAGAGCAGAACGAGGCAGATCGTTGTCGCTGGGTCTTTAGAGATGTCAACTACAACCATAGACTCTTGTTATCCATCGCAAAATCGCGAAACGTACGAGGCATATTGCCCGTAACCCTCTGCACCACATTAGTTGGCTCTGCTCCATGCCCATTTGCGACTGCCACATCCAGATCGGCAAGATATTCTGCCATTTCCTTTGATACCCCATTCGCCGCCAAGAGTTGTCTGAAATCGCTATGAGAAAGCTTCACATGTTCTATAACTTTACCAAGCACTTCACTGAGAATCTCGGCAACCTGGAGATCTTTAGTCCACTACATGCGCAGAACGAACAGCAGCGCTCACCTCGTCGTAGCTGAGAGACTCTCCACCTGTAATGATGTGATCTGTGTTGTGCGGCTGCTCATCTATCAGAGCCCGGTACCCCGTTGCAGCAATGTCTCTTGCCGAAATGAATGGCAAGCGGCCATCTTCTGCCGCGGAATAGATTTTGCCTTCTTCTCGGATCGTTTTGAGGCTGTACGATTCGATGAAGTTTTCTAAGATGATCAGCTTGACAATTTCGTAGATGGTGAGGACCAATACCCATGAAAAAGTGTGGACGCAACACAGTCCACTCGATTTCGTTGCGCTGTCCCAGTATCTTGAGCTCCTCATGCGTGCGGCCATTCAACGGCCCGCCAGCTGATATCTCCCAAGCACTGACTAGCACGAAACGCTTGACGCCTCTCCTGCGTGCAAAGTCTACGAAGCGTAGGACGAGTTGGCTAACGTTCATGACATCAAGCCCTACGAGGTAGGCCGCTGTAATCGGCGAGGCTTTTGCTTGAGCGTGAGCGAATGGCAGTTCGAAGGTCAACTGATCGGTCCAATCAAAGCGCACAGTTGGATATGGAGAGTCGTCTTTAGGCCTCCGGGAAGCAACCAGAATAGGATATATCTGCTTGTTAGCCTGGTCTGAGGTCGATGAATGCAGCATCCGGCTTAGATGCGAAGCAGTCTTGCCATTGGAACCTGTAATGAGAATCGTCATTGTGCCTGGAACTCTACCCGGCTACAACAGCGTGTCATCGCGTTTGGTGTTCATGAACGGAGGCAGCCAGCGAAGTTATACTTCTTGTTCCAAGCTATAGCTTAGCTTGGCATACCAACTGCAAAGTGTCATCGATCTCGCAAAGTCAGGCTCAAGCTCAAATCGGATGTTCCGCGAGCGGCATTCTGCATATGGATCGTGTTCGCATCGGCAGTCACCACCAAGAAAGCCAACACAGTTCCGCGCACTAGTCTTCGGTGACTCCACGAAGCACCAAAGCAGTGTATACCGCCTATGTCGTACTGTTTTGGATGCCGGCAGCCTGGCGTCTTATTGTAGCACCATGTAACAAGTAATATCACGAAGACTGTTATCGCTGCTTCCAAGCCAACGCTCTTCTCTTGAAGCTATATTACGTGTTTGACTTCACCATATGCATGCGTTGGCAGCGGTGAAGATATGCTATGGTACCGAAAAATGGCGTCGAGGCATCACGTTGATGGACGGAAGACTCGCAGATAGATCGTCGCGTCGTCGTCGTCGTCGTCGTCGGCGGCGGCGTGTTCTCGGAGCCGTATGGGTTTGTAATGATAGTCTCGCATCTTCGGCCAGGGCAGGAATGTCGATATGGGCGCGTTGAACTCGGCTCGGGAGCAGACTGATTGTTGTGAACGTGTAAAGCGTCGTGGCAAGATGAGAAGACATGGGAATCAGCACGCACACGCTCCCGCTCCCGCTCACGGCGGTCATGGACGATTGAGGTTGATTTTGATGTCACCGTCGTTGTAGCCGCATTGTTTGCCCGGTTAAGGGCCATGCTTTGCGGAGAGACAGACCGGGGGTGACTCCACTTTAACGTCCTGAAACGGAGAGACGGGAGGCACCCGGGAAAGAGCGACTGTGGCTGAGGCGGCTTGAGGCATCGGGAAGCTTCCAGTCCGCGCGCTGCTGCCCATGCCATGCTATGCCGCATGCGCTGTCGGTTGACATGATATTTGCCAGATGCAATGTCGTGATGGTCTCGGACATTATCGAGCGCTGTCAGCGTGGGTCACTTGCCAATGTGGCGGCACGATCATGTCGACATCCAAACGACAGCGCATTACCCAAGGTAGCTGCTGGTGCTGCAAGAAGCGAAGGGTGAAATGTGATTTAGTCCGACCAACGTGCGGCCGCTGTGAGTCGACGGCGCAGGTATGCGGCTACGGCGCGGCTCCATTCAAATGGGTCGGCGGCATGGCTTTACGAGGCAAGAACGCGCCCGCAAATGCCCCGGAAATCTACAACTTCTCTCCTCTGATCACTGCTGCTGCTGCTACTGACACTGACTCCTCTGGCCATGGACGTGCGTCGGACGTTGGGCCGTCTAGTCCTGCTCCACCCGCGAACGCCAACGCCACTGGCAATAATGGCAATGGCAATGGCAATGGCAATGGCCATGGCCATGGCACTCACGACAGACGGCCGTCCGATGCCACGACCGTGCACGATGACATCGACTTGCTCTCGCCAGCCCCCACCCTGAGCATCGTGCCTTCCACGCCGCCGCTGGATGAGTCGTGCCTGATGCCGTATTTCGCTAACGCAGTCCTGCCACGATTCCTGCTCGGCGACGGCATCTTGGCCGTGGACTACGCCATGATCGCTAAAGACGAATCTCTCCAGCAGGCCGTGCTAGCCATATCGAGAGCTCACTACAACTACCAGGCAAAGTGTGGGGCCAACGACTCTGCATTGGTCAGGAACAGCTCGCGCCAAGTCGCCATCACAAGTTTCCGGAAACGCCTGCAGGTCGGCACGTCTGGCGACGATTCAGCCAAGGAATTGTTCGCCAACAATGTCTTGCTGTGCATGCTCGATGGCATGATCCAGCCCTCGACGGAACTCAATGCATCGAGCATGCATCTGAAGGGCGGCTTTGCCATGCTGAATCGCTGGTCTTGTACCATCACCAACATGCTTCTCGAAGGTGGACTGCAATCTCATCTGCTGTCCGTCTTCGTCACCATGGATCTGGGAAGCAGTCTTCTGACTGGTCGGAAGCCTTACTTCGAACCCATCCTCTTCCACATGTTCGCCAATACACAGGCTTGGTGGGGCTACCTGCCCACTGGAGACCGCTTTCTCACGCTTCTCAGGACGCTGAACGAGATGGCCGCCTTGGGTGCTGTCGTCTTCGCTCACCTTCCAAGCGGAGACGGCGCATTCTTGGCGGAAAAGTGCTTCCCGCCTCTGACAGCAGTGCTCGAAGCGCCGCTCCCTGTACATTCTCTAGACGGGATAGACTATCGGAACTGGGTCACGTTCTGCGCACTTTGGGAGGCATGCTCTTCTATCTACTTCTATCGCGCGCTGGAGCAGCGCACCGTCGACGACGAACTGGTGCAGGCCCACGCCAGAAAAGGAGTATCCACGCTCATCGATGCCTTGTTGCCTGGTATGCTGCAGCACTGTCTCGTTCTGCCTATGCTGGTCATCGGCGCACATTGCATCCACTCTCAGGACCGGAAAGCGATTGTCGACGCTTTATCTCCAACAGTCTCATATCTCGCCTTTGGAAATCTGCCCTTGATGGTCGATTTCCTGAAGGGCAGTTGGGAGAAGTCCGATTTTCACTCGACTTGGTGGGAGACCTTCCATGATATCTCGGACAGAGTATTTCTGTTCTGATCACGATTTTAACGAAGGCGGTCTATGATCTCGCTAACTCCGTGCGTGTCTTATTCAACCGCTTGACGCTCCTTTAGAAGCCTTTCGCCAAGCACCGCAAGCTTTCGGGACCTCGGAAGGCCACAAGCGGACTGCAGGAAAGAGCTAACTCAGAGAGGCATCATTCTTGTCACGGCGATGACCAATATATATGGCTTGTCGTTGCGTCGCCGATCTCTCATTATTGGTGCGCTGCGCAGAGAGTATCCTTTAATCCTTCATTTGTGACGGTACATATATCATAAAGGCGGAGATGTGCGGTCTTGGTTGGAGGGTGTGTTCCACCAGAATCGCGGACTCCGATCGCAATGTCAACGACGCCGCACGAGAAGCTGGGAGGCAGACAGCATGATGCCGACACGAAGATTGAATCAAACACGCTCGAACCGACGACAGATGTCAGTCTGGAAGCATTAGGCTACCAAGCCCAATTGCGCAGGAACAGAGGACTATACACGATTTTGTTTCAAGTCCTGGTAAAAGCATCTGACGTCTATGGTCTTCTTCCAGGCAGCTGACGCACCATTCGACAGGCCATCACTGCTGTGCCATTCGGAGAAGGTAGTGCTATCTTCAGTGCTATCTATGGAGGCGGACAGCTTCCCTACTTTGTGGGATGGATTGTCGTTAGTGCTCTCGACCAATGCATGGCTATGTCGTAAGTTTTGGTTGTTCCATGAGGAAGGCCGTTTCATGGGCTCACCAATCGCCAGTCTCTCTGAGTTGGCCTCACGCTTCCCAACAACAGCAGGTCCGTACTACTGGTCATATCAGCTCGCCACTGTCCGCTTTGGCGAGGGCAGCCGAGCAGCTGAAGTTCTATCATTCATTACTGGTTGGACTTGGCTTGTGGGCAATTGGACTATAGCTCTCTCAGTCAACTTTGGCACCGCGAGCTTCATTGCTGGAACAGCGACGATCTACCACCCAGACTGGTCAGCGACAGCATGGGAGCTGCTTCTCATCTTCTACGCCATCTGCCTGATCACTTTTCTAGTCTGTGGGTTTGGCAACCGTATCTTGCCTTACGTTGATGCAGTTGCTAGCGTGTGGAATCTGGTCACCATTCTGATCGTGTTCATCGCTCTTTCTGCGACAGCCAAAGTCGGTCGACATGACGCCGCAACTGGTCTCGGCGGCTACGACAAATCGCTTTCTGGCTGGGACGACTTCTCTTTCTTTATTGGACTTCTACCAGCGGCATATACCTTTGCAGCGATCGGCATGATTACCGTCATGGCAGAAGAGTGTCACGAGCCTGCAGTGGAACTTCCCAAAGCACTTTCTCTCGTTGTGCCAATCTCTGGAGTAGCAGGCTTGTTCTTCATTCTTCCCATCTGCTTCACGCTACCACCACTCGAAGATATTTTCAACGCGCCACTCGGTCAAGCTCTGCCTTACATCTTCCATGTCGTGATGGGCTCACGAGCAGGAGGTCTGGCTCTGATGTTCTTTATCCTCGGCGTAGCGATGTTCTGCTCCATCAGCATCACGACTGCAGCTTCAAGAACGGCATGGGCATTCGCTCGGGACCACGCTGTTCCACTCTCGCGAGTCTGGTCCAAACTTGCATTCAACGACACTCCCATTCCTGCATTGGCTCTTACGACCATTGTGCAGATGTTGCTTGGACTCATAAACCTTGGCAGCACAGCAGCTTTCACAGCCTTCATCTCGGTCGGTGTCATTGGACTCGCAGCATCTTATGGCATTCCTATCCTTATGTCCGTACTTTCAGCGCGTGAAGCGGTGTCGACTGCGCCCTTCAGATTTCCGGCTCCAGTGGGATGGTTTGTGAACATCATCTCCATCCTCTGGATCAGCTTTCAATTAGTGCTGTTCAGCATGCCGACTGCGTTACCGGTGACTTTGACGACGATGAACTGGGCTAGCGTCGTGTTCGTCGGATTTATGGTCCTGAGCGCCATCTATTACGTGCTCTTTGCGCGAAGAGGTAAGTCAAGAGAAGACAAATGCGTAGCCAGCGCTGATTTGCCAAAAAGTATACAAGGGACCTCCAAAATCAGATGGGCTTTAGTCAAAATAAGCTACTAACTACGAGCAAGGCGAAAAGCATGACACTGCCAAGCGACAACAGCCTGGGTCCCGATGTTAGACATAGTAGGCAGGTCTTGGCCTTTACTTTGAGCAATAGCTTACCCCTTGAGACATTTGCTTAATACCTCCAAGCCTTCGCTTGCAATGGTCGCATTGACGTGTTGCATACGATCCAGGGAGCCGAGAGCCAAAACAGCCATCCACTCTCCTTTGCCGATTCCCACCTGAGATCACGCCAAAGACACTTCAGCCGCGAACTACAACCCACTGCTTTACAGTTCTCGGGACATTAGTGGTTTCGAGTATACTCTGGTGCTGCGTTGTGGCCGTGAAGTTGATCAATCGTAGTCGTGCTTTGATTGGACGCTCACAGACGTGAGGACATGCAAACCTTATTCTAATCTTCTGTCGAGCAATCTGCCAAGGAATTATCTGTGAGATAAATAACGTCCTTCGGAACATCAAAAATTTCTTCCTCCTCCATTCACCAGGAGCATTGCAACAAGGTCGATCTCTATTCACCAGCAAAATGTAAAAGAAACCTGGGAAGAAAACTTTTGCAGACGGCGACCCTGTGAAGGGAGACTTCACTCCTGGCCCAAGCACACCACGCAATTTTGCATCTTTGAGACAGTGGCGTGTGCAAAATCTATCCAGTGAAGAGTCCAATTCCAGTTGATCTACGACTTCATCCAATTCGGTCGACCTTAGCAGCTTGGGCATTACCACGACTCCAGGCACAACGATTACAGAACCCGATCAGACCATCGACATTCTGATGACCCTGGAATCAGTCGAGACCATAAAATTCTTTGGAATCAACGATGCCCGCTCAAGTGAGATCTGGAAGCGATGGGACCGAGTCACCTCTGACTTTGAGGATGATTTTGGGACTTTCGTGAGACAGCATCTTCACAATATCGTCAAAGAGGAGAAATGCGATGACGGGCATCCAGATTCCGACTGGAACCCTGCTCTTCGCAAAATCGGCGCAAATGACGATCTTCGTAATGACCTTGTCGGACGTCCTGAATTTGACGGTGTACGTTGCACCAAATCTGCCCTCGAGTGGGCTGAGAAGGCTATCGAGTGGCGCTGGAAATGGTTGCTGCATGTGAACAAAGCTTCCAAAGCACGAACTTGGATTTGCCGCCGACTTGATATGGCTTCGCCCAATGCCTGATCCATCAGGAAGCGATGCTGACTACAGGTCTTCGAACTTTCTCCCGTACGCATAGCAAGAGGCTCTTGTTGAAGATACCGTCGCGATTATCCAGACTCGGGAGTCTATTCGGCCATTCTGCAAACCAGCCTAGAAAGTTCTCTACGGCAGGCGCCACAGTCTTTAGCAACGATCACAAGCTGGAAGAAGAGAATTGGGAATGGTATACTCCTGATGCCTATTTTCCAGTCCGAATACGTCAGGTCTTTCAGTCTCAATATCAAGTCCTTGGAAAGCTTGGCTACGGAGCACATCCTACAGCATGGCTCAGTCGCGACCTGAAGTATGTTCTACAGCACTACCGCATCCATGATGTATCAGAATACTGAATTTTTGAGCTTTAGGGAAGGTAAATTCGTCACACTCAAGGTTTGCGAGCGCGACAGCCTCTCTGCCGAGCGCGAAGTTGCGGCGTACGAACATCTGAACTCGATGAAGACTACGCATCAAGGAGCCTTACTCGTCCGGGAGCTGTACGATCATTTTCAGATTTCCGGCTCCAATGGTACACACATATGTTTGACTCGGGAACCGTTGGGAATGAGCTGGAGACCTTGAGGCAACTGATGCCAGGAGAACAATTATCAGCAGATGTTTTGAAAGCCGTCTTAAAACATCTACTGCTTGCACTTGACTTCTTACACACAGAAGCTAAGATGGTTCACACAGGTGACAAACTTGCAATTCCGTTAACGACCTCGAACTGAAGCTAATTCGTGAGCAGATCTCCAAGAAAGGAACATACATTTTCGCATCGAGGATCTTACTATTCTAGAAGACTTCGAGAAGATTGAGCAAGCTAGTCCGAGTGCCCGTAAGATTGATGGGGATCGGATCATATACGAGTCTCGAGGCCTTAGGATGCCCAAGAGTACTGGACGACCAGTACTCTGTGATTTTGGTGAAGCTCGTTTCGGCAAGTCGTCTTACACTGATGACATTCAACCTTACATTTATCGAGCTCCGGAGATAATCCTAGATATAGCGTGGTCCTATCCTGCTGATATCTGGAATGTCGGGGTCATGGTATGCCTTACTCTTCTTCAGATAATTCCGAGTTTCATGATATTTGTCGCTTTCTGACGATGCACAGGCATGGGACTTGTTTGAGAGATCGCAGCTTTTCAATGCCCGGGGACCTGATGGCGAACAGTCGAGCTTGTATCATCTGGCGCAGATGGTTGCGATCCTGGGACCACCCCCAATCGAGTATCTCCAACGCACTGAAACGTCTCGGCAACATTTTGAGACCGACGGCACCTGGAAGGCTCCTGCTTCCATTCCAGACAGGACACTAGATACACTTGAAGGAAGACTTGATGGGAAGGAGAATATAATCTTCCTGGACTTCATCCGCAAAATGCTACAGTGGGTCCCAGAGGAACGGCACACGGCGAAGCAACTACTTGAGGATCCCTGGCTCACTTCGGTATGATCTGACGCACGATGGTACAATATTACCCTCTTTGTACTGGACCGACTAGAGGTTCTGGCGATAGAGGTCTCTGCGAACATACGAATCTCCACTCAGAAATTGGAGCCGCGGCACAGCTTGATCGGGCGAGTCGGTAGAAAGTTTCAGGACCGCATCCTGCTCACCATGCATGCATTCGATGTACCCCAATAGGACGGGAAATCCATTCTTGTGCAGTCCGATATCTCCAAGGTGAGCCATCAGAGAACTCTAAAATCGAAGGTTTCGTGGCGCAGAGTGTGCGGAAGAATGGAGAGATGGCTTTGAGGTCGGGGATATCAGGGATTTGATGAGTTTGCTTGAGGAGATGCAGGGTAGTGGGCCTGGATGGAGGTGAAGGGCGAGGAGATTGATGCACTCTCTTTTGAAGCAGCTCTGATTCTCTGATGGCTGCCGAGGGCCAAACAGCAGAATGATAGAAAGAGAACTTTGGAATCAACAGCTGTCCTAATCTGTGCACTGGACAGGTGTCATTTCCTGACATTTGTAACATGAGCAGCCTCGAGTGTGTAAGGTCCGCATTGAAACTGGGTCGAATGTCAATTATAGCATTTATACGCTTCCAATCGAGCCATAACGGTCGTTCATAATACAGTACCTATCGATTCATGCGCTTTCACGCTTCCGCCCACCCTCCAAAACGCCGACTCTCCACTCCAATGCTCAGTAATACATGGGGGTATCGAGAGCGAGCGCGGTACATCCTATCCCCTTTCTATCGACCATACCATTGACCATGCTATGGACCATACTATGGACCATACTATTTGCCGTAACCCTGAAAATTTCCGAAACCTCCATACGGCGTCTGGGTATTGAGTCCTGCATGACTTGTAGTCGGTGTGCTCGGGTTTCCGCTGGGTGTAAAGTTCGCGCCTGCCGCTCCAGTGCCTGATCCTAGCCCACTGAGAACGCCTCCATTTCCACCAGCACCGTTCGGCTGACCTGCTGGAGTACCTTGCGCTGCGAAAAATTCTTCACGATATTGCTGAGATGCAGGCTGAGGTACGCCATGAAGACCGTATATTTGGTCAGACAGTTCATCTTCGAGATCTCCTTGGAAAATCTTCTCCTTCATGGCCCAGAAGACAGCCCCAGTAAGCCACGCGTCTGAGCCAGCAGTGTGTGATGTGCCTACTCGTTGACAGCCGAGCTCAGCAGCGAGGTCTCCAAGACCGCTCTTACCACCAAGAGTGTCGACGAGTTGCGTTGCAGAGTCGGTCAATTGGTGTTGTACTCGTTTTCGCTGAGCGTGGCGCAATAGAAACTTGATATCCCACAGCTTCGGGAAGAACATTGTGACAAGCTCGAAAAAGTCGCCCTGGTCCATAGGCAGGGCATCGTTTGACAAAATCTTGATCAGATAGCCAAAGTCGTAACCACTGTGGAAGCTCAGCCAGTGGACGTCCGGATTGAATGCCAGTCCAGAAGTCGTGAGCAGAGCTCCGAAGGCTTCCTGTGAGATGCCCATTTCCATGTGTCTTGCAAAGTCCACGCCTGATTGCTTGAGCAGTTCGATCGAGCTCTCAGCGTACATGTCTTGCTCAAGATTGAATTGGAAGTTGAAGACCCATGTGCATGGGATGTTCTGGTTCAAGAGGGCGTTGCTATAGCCAGGCGTTCTAGTGTTCGGCTGGAAACTCGGATCTTGTGAGGGAGGTAGGCCGCCCTCGGCAGTCCATAATGTGATACCGACCTGAATCGGCTTCAGGATGTCGACGTTACATCGCAAAGTCTGATAATGGTACTCGGCCTTGCTGCCAGCGAAAGTTCCCATCGGACGCGCAACAATTCCGGGAAACTCTGCATCCATCGAGACGAAGGGATACTTCTGGATGAGCTGTCGCAGCATGTGCATTTCAGCGTCCAGATTGTGCCTCCATACCTCCCGTATTCGCGCGGCAGCACCAGTCTTCATGCCCATTCCCGCCGCCTCAATCTGATGCCCATGCTCCTGCATAGCAGCGCCGCGAGCAAAGCCTGCTTGCGCCGCTGCCGACCCAAGACCTTGGCCACCTCCAATCATTCCTCCGTTGAAAGGTTGATTTATCGAGGCCTGACCGAACGCTGAGGCACCGTAGGGCGAGCTGGGGTTGAAGGGCGAAATGCCGCCGTTGAGCGCGCTGTTGCCAAAAGCATTTTGCGAGCCGAAAGAATTGGGCAATTGCGTGGACTGCGACTGGTAATGCGAGGTCTGGGGGATTTGGTGATGCTGGTTGAGATGTGCAAATGGATTCGACATGTGCGATGGGTGCATGCGACCCACCGCGGGAGGCATGTTGGCCGGCCTCCTCCTCTTAGGTTGTGCGCCTCCTATGGTGAAAGTCGCCGTGGGATCCAGTTCAGCTGCGGTGAAGTATCATGCCTGGGAAGGCTGCGCGTCGGAGAGATGTTGTGTGGTGTGATGATCGTACGCGGTCTTGCGAATACAGCTTCGCATGTGAGTCTGGAGAGTCGAGACAGAGAGTGCAGGGAGCTCTCTCTCCACACTCGCGGGCGGCGGAAGGTGCGGCGAGGAAAGCTTGGCGCGGGCAGGAGCGACATCGAGCTTTGAGCAAGTGCGATGCGAGCCTGCAGACACTCATTGCCGCGCCATTGCATCTCACATGTATGCTCCGCCGCTGTCATAATCGTATGTAGAGCAGGCTAATACTCTACAGCACCTACAATGGCCCCAAAACAATCCAATCTCACCGGCTTTGACCCTCAAAAGTTCGCCGCCGCTGCCGGTCAACCCAAGAACGACCCATGGGCGCGAGCGTACGTCTGCAGGAGAATGGCTAGCATTTCGAAGGAAGTATACTAATCTCGAGACAGTGAGGCATGGAGATACACTGGCCCTTTCACAAGATGGAATCGCTTCAAGGGCTCATTCCCCGGTCTCGGCATTGCGACAGTAGCATTTGCAGGCTACCTTGTATACGAACAGATGTTCCTCACTTCATCACACGGCCACAGCGACGGGCATGGGGAAGCTCACCATTAGGAGAAGCAATTAGTGGGGGAGAAACGGAATATGTACAGCGCATGGCCGAGGCGTTTATGGAGCAATGACTATGATATACCAGTCCAGGAAGAAGAGACGCGCTCATATTAGCCACGGGAGGAAGGAGATGGGAGTGATCGATACTGGTTCTCTCAAGAGCTGCCAACCTGTCACGACAACCGCAAGACAAGGCGGGCCAGTGCGCGAAGAGAGCATGCCGAAGAACCGACCTCCTACAGAGATCTTGCTAAAGCTCATCCCTCCCATCCTCTCCCACCACACTGCCTTCATCCACCTTCCCATTACTTTCAACCTCATCCCCACAATCCCTCCTCTCAAACACAACTCCTTCTTCCCCAACCTCAACCCTCTTCTCCATCCTTTCCATCTTCCTTCCAAAACACATCTCAGCCCCATACTCACAAAGAGCATGCACAACAACTCCACTATTCCATTCATACAAACTCTTATGAATCTTCCCAGTCTCCTCCACGTCTACGAGGAAAACAGCCATTTCGCCTAAAACCAATTAAACAAGGAACAACAGCTGATGGGTAAGGAGGCGTCTGCTTACGTATGGGAAACTCCCCAATCGGCCATTCTCTATACCAAGTTATGGAATCACAAGTATGCGATAAAAATAATGTTTTGAATTCTCCTTGGACACCTGGAGAGGGTTGGACGAAACGTTGGAAGTATTCGTGACGGGAGTGTGCGACGGATGTGTTCAGCTAGTCAGTGTGTGAGCGAAGGGAGCATACCATCCAGAAACACTCTATGGAGTATTGCACTTGCTGGCGCGCGCGTTCACGTAGCGGCTCCTGAATAAGAAACGCCAAAGAGTCCGAAACGATGGTAAAATTCTCGGTTGTGATATCCTGCATGAAGAATTCCCAATTATCTCTTTTGCCTGTGATGTTGTTCCATGCTTCGATAAAGTAGTCGACGCGGGACTGTGTAAGGCAAGTTCGTGCGAGGGTGAAGGGGAGGAGGATGGGGAGGACGAAGAGGAGGAATCGGGTGTGCATGATTGCAGACTCGAAAAACGCCAAGGTGGTGTACGTGTTTACGGTGCTGGAGAGCAAGTGCTTGTTGTATCTGCCTGTAGAGGCGAGGAGCTTGTTAGTGAGGCCGAAAGCGTGTTCTTGGAGGGGTTGATATGCGAGCTCGCCTGCGAACAGCGAGCTCTCATTGCGAGTAGGACCTGTCACTTGCGCTCGCAGTGTCACGGAGTTCGTGGATATGGATACGTTTGAGAAATGGCGCCACGCACTGCAGTGACGTGATTGGATGGGTTGCAAAGATGGTATCTGCTTCTACTCCAACCAATGGCAGTCATTCTCTTCTTTACTCAGAAAGCGATACGCAGTTTTGCTTCTATGGTAATTTCAGCAGGCATGGCATCAGTCCACGCTGTGGTCCAAGGTCGGTCTGTGAATGCTGTCGATTCATTGCCCTTGATGACGTTCCTCCGACTTCCAGTCGGACCGGGAACCTGCTTGCGGCGGATGTCCCACCTCGTCTGCCCGGTCGTGTTCTACGTCTGGAAACATGTCGGTGCTAAGCTAAATCGCTCCTCGTGCTTGAGCGCCCTTCTTAATGGATCAATATCGGATTCTTGCTCAGCCCAGATTTGGTCTTGCTGATATGAATCGCTAGCAGCGTATGGCTGTTCATTTCGGGCTGTTTTCGACGGGTTGTAATCAGCGCCAGCGCAATCGTCCTCGGGGTGGCCAGGCCCTCGGGATGGGAGGATCATCCTCTCAGAAGTAGGCCAGTAGTGCACCAATCCGTTGCCTGAAGGCATCATTTGGATCGTTCTTGGCGTGCTACCTACGATAAAGCTCTCGTTCTCTATTCTGCAATCTTTCTCTTCGATCCCGGTCTGGACTTCGACTTCTAGTCCGTCGCTGGTCTGAGTATCCTCGATCTCGAGCATCTCGATATGGATCGCCACGTGTACCAGGACGGTCCGCATCACGGTACTGACGTGGTGGCGGTGCGTCCGAATCTCGGTATGGATCTCTTGGAGGCCTGTCGCTATCTCGATAGATGTGCTCGCGGCTATCACGACGACCTCGATCGTAGCCATCGCGTGCATCACGTATGTCTCGTGGCGGTCGATCGTCGCGTGGCGGTCTGTCGTATGGTGGCGGACCTCCACTCTGGTATGACGGGATATATGTATCTACATCGTTTCGAGCTCCACCTCTGGGCGGTGGTGGACCTCGGTCAGGGCCTCGATCTGGGCCACGCTCGGGTATTCGATCTGCAGCCGCGGGCGGTGGTCGAGGTGGCAGGCCGTCGGGGCGAGGTGGAAGAGAGTGCCCATTCGACGGCATAGGTCGAGGTGGGCGGTCGTGATCGCGTTCGCGGTAGGTTGGCTGTCTACCGGATGGTGCTGGCGGGGGCCCTCTTCGGTCATCATAGCCTCGAGGCGGGCCGCGATACGCACCTGGAGGACCTTGATCACGTCCACCATAGCCGCGACCTCCACGATCGCCGTAGCCATTTTGATACGACCGCCAGTCCTCCTCAGGACCCATGCCGATGGTGCCGCCTGCCGGAGCCGGAGGTAAGGCTCTCTGCTTCTCTTGGTTGCCGCGACGTCTAGAATCTAGCTCATGGCTGTCTTCGTATCTCGGTAGGTCGTCCGGTCTTGCTGGCAGAGGAGCTACTTTGAAGTACTCGTGCTGCAGCGCGTCGATTGCATTAATCCGCTTCCGCCAGTCGAGACAAAGCAGCGACTTGAGCAGACTGAGCCCTTCCTTTCCGACTCCCGGCCATCTACCGAAGCGCTTGTCGATCTCTCCAGTCTGAGCTTCCCAGTCCTTGTGCCCTTCACAACCTGGTAGCTCGGACCAGCCAGGCATCGTTTGCTCATTAGGCGAACCGATGAGCTTGAAGATCTTGACACACTGGTCAAGGTCCGATCGTCCTTCCAAGATGGGTTTCTTTTCGAACATCTCTCCAAATATGCAACCAATTCCCCACATGTCAATAGCCGGAGTGTACCGCTTGAGCGTGAGAAGTAATTCGGGAGGTCGATACCAGCGTGTGACGACTAAGCTGGTGTAGTCTCGCACAGCATCGCCGTTGCCGCGACCAGGTTGTGGCGTCTGTCCCTCGTAATGTCGTGCCAAGCCGAAATCAGCGATTTGGAGAATTCCTCGATTGGAGATGAGGATGTTCGCTGCCTTCATGTCTCGATGAAGGATATGTGACTTGGTAGTGTTAGCTACGGTACAACAATCCTCTCAACGCCGCCACTTACATCGTGCAGATAGCGCAGACCCTCCAACAGCTGCAGCATATAGCATTTAATCTGCGCAGTGTTGAATTGGATGTCCGGATTCGTCAGCATCCCACTCAAGTCGTGATCCATATACGGCATGACCATGTAAAGTGTCGCGCGTTTCTTGCCGGCCTTTGCTTTCTCGTCCGCTGCATCTAGCTGTCAGCATACCCTTCTCGCAGGCCTCAAGGCACCTCTTGCTGCCATGCTCCTGCTCACCTGGCTGCCGCTCAACCGCCATCTCCTCCAAACGCAGAATATTGGGATGGCTCAACATCTTGAGCAGTTTCACTTCTCTCAAAGCGGTAATAGGAAAGCCATCTTTCTCGTTATGCATTAAAATCTTCTTCAAGGCAACAATATTTCCCGTCCGGCGGGACTTTGCTTTGCTGACAACTCCGAAAGTACCCTCTCCCAGCTTCTCTTTCATTACTTCATATTCTGATATCTTGGCGCTGCCTCGAAAGCGTCGCTGGGTCGGATCTGTGAGACCAGGTGGCGCCGCCGTGTTGAGTGAAGGCGAGTTGCCTGACGACATGTCGGTGTATGCGCAAGTGCGCGTCGTTAATTATTTCGTGTCACGAATGGTATCAAAAGCTTTGGCGACGGTCGTTCAGCGTAGGTATCCAGCGGGCGTTGAGAACGGGCCGCGCGTGCGATATATGGTAATAAGTCGGCGCGCATGTCTGACAGTCATCACCGAGCTCGATTCGCGCGGACGTGCGTGTGTTTCGATAGTGCTTTGACTCGCGGTCGCAAAGGGTTGCAAAGGTAAGGTTCACAGTGACGATCGCGACGCCTCAGGCCTCAGGTCCGAAGATCCTGGCGTCACGCTCGATTTGGCCTAGCGTCAGAGAGCATTGCTGCTTACCACCGACTTCACTTCTCGCATTGACGTTGGTACACCAGCCAAGCACTCGATGAGGGCCTGATCGCAGCCATGAGACGTGAGAAATACCGTACAAATACCCTCCCGCACAATGCTGACCGTTTAAAGCCACATTCGCGCGATTGGCACAGGCCGCAAAGGGCCACGGAGGTCACCCAATTCACATCCACCCACCACACATTGCGTACAGAGTATTCGCGACAGGCCTTGGAGCATCTATGTGGTTTTTCGTATGTGAACGACTTCCGGTACGCGTACAACTGAGACTGACGGCGAAGCAGCTGTTTTACCGAGCGCGATACGACCTCCCCGTCCTGCTCGGCTTCAGACATCCATGGGATCACTGAATGGGAAGAGGAGACGCCGAGGGGGTTCAAATACGAGGATCGGGCAAATTGGGGAGGTGGAGAGCCTACACTGCATATGTATAAATGGGCCTAAGTCTAGAGAGGAGTTCGGCGCTTGCATGTCAGGAAATGCTAAATCCAAACAGCTCCTGGCAATGTCATGCCCTTTGTGAGATACGTGTATGTCGTCGAGGTGCCACTTCACAATACGAATAGCGGGCATGAAGAACTCTCACTCGTCAAAGCATCATCCATGGGATTAAAGGAGACGCAATCGCGCATCTCGCACATGGAAAAGCTGACCGACTTGTAGATGTAGCACAAATGCATTGTGGGCAACGAGACTGCAGCATTTTGAATCTCGGAGGTGGCTTTGCAACTTCACTTGCTGACCGGTGAAGTGAACGTGAACGTTTGCAAAGCATTGACCAAACTACAGCACCCCCTTCCTCAACCATCTCGACTAATGGCATCACTCAAAGCCGCGAGATCGACTCACTGCTGCATTTCATAAAACCGCCACGATGGTTCGTGATGCGGACTGGTATACCTCCGGCTTCGTCCCAGAAACACCACCAAGCTCAACTCGCCCCACACTATCGAGAGAATCAAGCAAAGCATCCTCAAGTGCCGAAAATGCTGCAACCTCAGACTCGAAAGCCAACAACTCACAAACCATTCCACCTCCACCAGAACTGTGCAAACCAACGTTCCGCATGACACCTCGCAACCGCCAAGAAACCACCAACAAAGTCATTCAAGACGCTGGAAAAGCCGCGGCTGAGCACCTGAGATCTAGCTTCAAAGGCGCCTCAAAGCTGAACCCGTACTTGCGGGAAATCGCTAAGCTCGAGAATTATCCCGAGCGGAACGGATTCGATTGGGATGCTGCGAAACGCAAAGCTAGGGCTCGGGGGTGGAAGACGGGTATTGAAGGTGGCACCAGTACGCCTTGGATGCGGAAAGATGCTTTGCGTAGGAGTTATGAAGGATTGAATAAGATCGCGAAAGAAGTTGCACCAGCGGTGGAGTCGCCAGCTGGAGATGATGTGCAGCGTGCGCCTATGCCGAATGGGAAGCTGAGGAGGATTGAGAAGACCAGGGTCAAGAAGGCGCCGAATTCGGCAAGGGATAATACTGATACGATTGATCTGACTGGGGATTCTCATTGAGCGAGGCGAGGGGCGGAGGTAGTTAAGTGGTACTCGTTCTGTCCGGGGTTTGGCTAGCACTATCAAGGCGGCATGAATCTGAAGTGAGGCTGGTAAAGAAGGCCAAGATGGCAGGATGACGCTTTTTGGAGTACATTCATGACTATGTGCAAATCGAGGCGCTACTTGGGCGACGCAGATTCACAGGCCGCCACGAAAAGCCGCGCTTGTGCATGCTGATTGCAGATAAGCAAATGCTTTATGACGCGAAGAAACCCCAGTCGCGGTCTGAGCACTTCATACAGCGAACCCTTCTACACCCTGAACGCCTGTCCTCCAAATGCTGCTCTCTGAGCAATGCTGAACCATGAGCGCACATCCGCTGAGAATAAGTTCTGGGGCCTTCTTCACTTGTTCCCAGATAATAGCTCTTCCACGCTGTATCAGGGTATCATCGTTTCCAAATGCCCGCCAGTCGGCCTTGTCCATGAAAGCTTGCATTCCATGTTCGTGAGTAGGCCAAGAGTCGATTTCCGCCGGCTACCGATCAGGGTCTTCCACCCACCACTTCCGTACGATTTCAGTCAAAGGATGCCCAATCCAAGCCTTCTAAGCGTCGACTGGCCCTTCGCCGGCCCAGAATCGAGGCAAATAGTACTTCATATTCTCATACACCAAGAATGTTACGCAGGTGCTTGGCAGCACACGTACTATGTTTGGTGCCAATCCTTTGTAAAATCCAGCGATGCCTTCGTTTCTGAACACTTTTCCGACCACGTCCCACGCACCTTTGTACCTCTGTGGAGCATCGTACGTCTGCAAGCGGGCCCTAACCACTTGATAAGGGTACGTGATGCTGCCTGCGAACATTTTGCTGACGGCACTGAGTTGGAGGTAGTCGAGATTGGTAAGACCTTCCTTTCCACCTGTGCGGTGCAGTGCCCATCGATTCTTGAGCTGTTCATAGGCCATGAATTGAATGGCGCCATGAGAAACACCGAAGAGAGATGGCAAGAGACCGCGATAGAATCCGCGAACTCCTTCTGATCGGTATAGAGATGTAGTGCCTTCCAAAATCGACTTGTATGCACCAGGTGCATTGCGGGCGGTCGATAGCATGCGAGTCTTGATGACCCATATCGGATTTGTGAAGACCGCTGTCAAGATCCCAGCAACTCCAGACGCAATAAAATAGTCCGAGCTCTTCAGCTGCGCATTCTGACTTCCTTGACTGCTTACGCGAGCTGCGCGCACAAGATCCTTGATGTTTCCATACCACATAAAGTAGAGTGCCCAACTGACACTATTTCCGATCATGTTTGGCATGAGACCTCTGTAAAAAGCCCGCACCATAGCACCGCTCTTTTCATATCCACTTTGCAAAGCTCTGCTCATTTCTGGTGTCGGTCCATGGAGTGCTTCGCTCGCAATCGTGCGTATGACGCGGATGCTGCCACCCGGTCTTGTGCGTTCATTTTGTTCTATTTGCAGTCTTGTCTTCACTACATCGAATGGGTGGACAGCCAAGGTCGAGACAACGCCGGCGGTAAAGCCAGCGGCGGACTCGACTAGGGAGGGTGAGAGGGCGACGCTCGGCTGTCGTCCTTCCAAAGGAGGATAGACCCGAGGCATAGGTGCGGTGGTGAGTGCTCGCCGAAGTTGGTCATGCTTGCTGCATAATAGGCAGTCGACGGTTCAGCGGAAGGCAAGCTTCAAGCTTCGAACGACGGTGAAGGAAGAGTGGGATTATAGTGAAGCTATCGGGTTCGGAATTAAGCTGCCGCTCTCGGGAACAGCTTTTAAGCAAGCTCTCAATCAAATATCTATTCACCAGTTTCATTCCTTCGGAAAGTCACATGCCGGCCTGCTTTAGCGCGAGAGAGAGCAGGCAGTGTTCGAGTCCAGCCACTGCGAATGCATTGCCAGCCTCTTGCGCTCAGCCGACTCGACACTGCAAGCGCCTGCAACCACGTCACGCATCCTTGCTTGCCTCTCGCGCCCTCGCGGGCAGTGAATGCTGCAATGCCCATCTAGATCTTCTCAAATGCAGATTCGCCGGTAGGTATATCTCTCCCTCACCACCACCCTGCCTCTGCCTCTACTTCCTCCTACGATATGGCAAATCACTTCACGAGCACCCCCGAAGCTCTTCTCGGAAGAAACGACTCCAAAAACCCGTCGACGACTTGCAAAGGCCTGACGAGCAATGGACGGCCATGTCGGCGAGCGTTGGCAGCTCCGAGAGCCGCCAGTGGCCGAAGGAGGAGTTCTGTATCTGCACTGAATGGCGTTGTCGCATTGGTCGAGGAGGACGGCGAGGTCGCTGAAGCGGACTTTTACTGCTGGCAGCACAAGGACCAAGCAGAAAGGCTTGTCGCACAAGAGCAGAATGGCGCAGGAAAGAGGGCCAGCAAGAAAAAGTCTACTGAGCTGTTCCCACTGCAGGAGCGGAGCAGTATTGATACATTGGTTCAAAAATTAGGCATTGAAGCGGTGTCTGAGAAAGGTCGGAAGAACAGGAAGACGAGACCAAACGGTGGCATGCGGCCGCCCAAGCGTACAGATACCGCCGACTTTGCGCATGCACGACCTGGCGACGATCGACCAGCCAGCAGTGTACCATACGCGGAGAAATATAGCTCTCGACCAAGTGCAGCGCAAAAGTACGAATCAAGACCGTCTAAGAAGCAAGGTTTTTGGGCTTCGTTATGCTGTGCAGCCGCAGATGACGAGGACTATGTGGAGATCGTTCGACATCGCAAGCGGATGCAAGAGAACAGCAGGCCCCAGGCAGTGACCACAATACCACAAACCACAGCATCACCTCAAGGCAGGCTTTCGGGGGCACCGATGCCTACTCGCAAACCAGTGACATCGGCACCAGTACGGCCGAAAGAGCAGCGCGTCTCGTCCAATCCTCAGACTGGACATCTACTATCTCTAATTCCTCAGCATTTGTCCCCACAGACCACGTCGATATTACTATCAGAACTGATTAAGCCCATAAGTCCGGCAGACGAGGAGGGTTACATCTACATATTCTGGCTGACACCAGAGTCCAAGGCCGCGCCAGCAGAGTCAACAGCACGTTCGCTACTTATTCCACCCTCCGATCGTCCAAGCAATGCTCGACGAATTAGCGATGTTATGACCGAATTTTCGTACGATGGATCCGGGGCTAGGGCAAGGAGTATCGACTCGGGCAAGAACACCATTATGTTGAAGATCGGGCGAGCGAACAATGTCACTCGTCGCATGAACGAATGGCAGCGGCAGTGTGGGTACACTTTAAATCTGGTTCGATGGTATCCATACATGCCTTCCTCAACTACTCCCTCGCCACAAGCATCGCCGCACCGAACGCCAAGTCCTGGAAATCGATATCCAGACCTATCGAAACCGCCAACTCAGCGGAGAGAAAGTGGCATAGTGCGCAAGGTGCCTTTCGTCAAGCGTGTGGAGCGTCTCATACACCTGGAGCTTGCGAATCAGCAAGTGAAGAAGCAGTGTCTCACCTGCGGCAAGGAGCACAGGGAATGGTTCGAGGTCGAAGCCAGTCAAGAGGGAGTGAAAGCTGTCGATCAATGCGTGCGTCGATGGGTAGACTGGGCTGAGAAAGAGGCGAGGAAATGATGCAGCGCAGGTACCTCTTCCACAAAGCCTGATCGTTCAAGGTCAGAAACGCACTGCCACCCTGCTTGAACTCCGTGGGACAGGACGACCAAGTCATAATTGTTGGATTCGCAGTGCATGACGAATGAACATAAGACCTCAAGTAACAGCCATCATCCAGAAAGAGGGGCTTGGTTTGCAATGCAGGATCTGGACCCTTCGCCGGATATCAGTCAAGGCAGCAGAATCGCACTCGAATACGTCGTGTATCGCATGAGTGGGGAAGATCAACAACAAGACAAGCATGTCAAGTCCGACTTGGCTTTGTGATTAAGCAATCCTGAGAGATCGGTGGTCCTTGGCAGGAATTCGGGGTTGCATCTCAGGCCGCCTTTGCGTGCAATTCGCCTTCCAGAAAGGGAAAGGTCTGCTAATTCTGCAGGAACAGGAATGGCTTTCTCCACCCGCAGCGATAGCGAAAGCGCCGCAAGATTGCGTCAGTCCGAAGCATATTGTTCTACGCCGTACTTTCTTCCTCACGTTCTCTCCATGCGATCATCGTTTTGTGAAGCAATCAAAAGCTACAATGTATCTCCAAGCACTCCTCATATCAGTAGTTGGCTTAGCAGATGCCGTCGACATCAGACCGTTAGGACATAGAGTTGATCGTCATGGGACTAGCTTGGATCGAAGGGCAACGCAACCATCATACGACATTCACACATTCGATCAGCTGGTGGGAGAACAGCCGTGATGCAAGATTGTGGGTTGCTTCGGACTGACACTGCTTGGACAGATCGATCATTTCCCGAACTCATCAAGATACACACCGAATCTTCCTGGCCAGACGTTCAAGCAACAATATGTCTTCGACAGCTCTTACTACAAGCCTGGCGGACCGGTATTCCTATACATCGGAGGTGAGACCTCTGTGCAAAGCAGGTTCAGCAACCTAGCGACTGGAAGTGAGTCAACACGAGCACCGGTATGAATTGACAAACTTTGTCTGATTTCCGTTCTACAGTCATTCAGATCTTGATAGAAGCGACGAATGGTCTTGGGGTAATCTTGGAGAATCGCTACTATGGCAACAGCTTCCCATTCAATTCTTCGTCGACGGACGAGTTACGGTTCTTGACTACTGAGCAAAGTGAGACCTAAGAAATCACCGTTCTGACCGAGTACTAATAAGACGCAGCAATTGCGGATAATGCCTATTTTGCTCAACACGCCACCTTTCCTGGAGTGAACGCCACGCTGACATCAGATAAGACTCCTTGGATATTGTATGGCGGGAGTCTTGCTGGCGCTCTGACGGCGTTCTCCCTCAAAACCTATGGCGGTGATGATGGCGTCCTTTGGGGTGGCATCTCAGCGAGCGGCACCACAAAGGCAGTACTACCTTATGGAATCTGGTGAGTGCTCTTCTCGTGGCTTCTAATGACATCAAGATACTGATCTTCCAGGTACGATGCTTATCAAAAGTTTGCACCACAAGATTGCATCGGCAGTCTGAACGCCATCGTAGACAAGATCGACCATGTGTTCGAACACGGAAATGCGTCTCAGATCAACCACATGAAGAGCTTATTCGGACTCGAGGCTCTGAAAGACAACCGAGACTTTGCCAGGACGATAGCTTTCCCACTTGGCGGCCCGGTATTCTATCCCACGAGCACCTGGCAAGAGCTCAACTGGGATCCTGCTTATGGTTCTGACGATATCTGGTACTTCTGTTACAACATTACCAATGCGGATTCGCCTCACAACGTAACACAGCTCGACTATGCTCTGGCTCCATACACGAACGGCGAACCATGGACTAATCTGGGCAACTATGCCACTTACATCAAGAACTACATCGTACCAATGTGTCCAGATCCTTCACTGATCGACACCACCACGACTGGCTGCTTCTCGACCCAAAACCAATCCTACTGGGCAGACACTACGAATAACGATAACCGCGCCTACATCTACAGCTCCTGCACGGAAGCTGGAATTTATCAAGTCGCTCGAGCCACTGGTCCAACCCTCCTCTCTCGGGTGGTGAAGCTAGACTACACTCAACAATGGTGCACCTGGGCCTACCCTCCGGGCGAACACAACTCCATCCCATCCACCCCTGACCTCAATCGAATCAACAAATATGGTGGCTACACCGTCACAGCAGATCGTTTGGCTCATATCGATGGCGGTCAAGATGTCTGGCTTGACTTGTGTTACCACTCGACTTATGCTCCGAAGCGGATGACGAGAAACGCGAAGGATGCGTACCTGCATCCTGAGATGTTGATTACTGGAGGCGGTCATCACTGGGATAGTTATGGTATCAGGGATGTTGCTGCTGAGCCGCAGTTCATCAGGGAGGCCCATCTTTGGGAAATTAGGATTGTGAAGAAGTGGTTGCAGATGTGGGATGAGAAGAAGGGGACGAGGAATGGAACAGATCGCGTTGAGTTGTGAAAATATCAAGAACTGAGTGCTGGCGTCACTGCACGCCGCGATCAGAGGCTAGAGCGGTGTTGAGACAGCGACGCTGAAGTGATCATCACCTGGATATTGCGCAGTCATAGCGTTTGAGAACTGACGAGCCTTTTGAGTAGGATATCTGCTGCTGTTCTCCCGTTGCCACTTTTCTGTTCGAACCCTTGTCTCGCTCCGGACTTTTGGGTCTGTCCCACTCGCGATATGCCACGAAAATCACCTTTACGCTCGGCCACCACGGCGACCTGCACAAAGCGGCTTTCTTCGATCTAATGGAGACTCGGCCAAGAGCTCGGACGAATAGACCAGTTTTCAAGCTTCTCGCAAACCGCCTCTCTCAACAGCAGTGTTGTCTAGCAGGCAGTGCCCTTCACATGCTGTCAAAGAATTGTTCTGATGGTATCAGGACTTTGTCGGTAATCCCTCTATAAGCTTCTCGCGAAAGCAAATAGAACACCTGGAATTGCCCCCAGTGCGTTCATCTCCTCCGCGTCGTATCTACCTTTCAATGCGCTGTCTCGAACAAACTCTTTTATTACGAGCTCGGAGATCTCAGAGTCTGCTGTGGTCTCCTGGAAAGCGATTTTGATGGCATCAACAGCGATGTGGTATTCGTCAAGAACGGCCTTGAAAGACTTAATCGCGTCATTTCCTAGATCAGGAAGTAACAGCATGTCCGCAAGTATCCAGAGCTGCACAAGTGTGACCTGCAACTCATCCGCCTTCTTCCTGCGACCTTCACCGGGGCCCGGAGAGAGTGGAGGATCGGTGTCATTGATTACGCCCGGAAGGTCCCCCTCGAAGATCCAGTACAAGAACCACTCGAAGGCTTTCGTAGTACAGCCTGGCAGTTGCAGCTTCTTTTCTTTTCCTTCTCTGAACCTATCTTCTGCCAATGCAGCCTTGAAATAGGGTGACGTATAGCACAAAGTCGCTTTCTGCACGGTAAAGATCCCGCCGTCTTGGAGTGCGATAGTGATCATCTCATCGGCCTTGAATGCGCTAAATGCCGTCAGCGTGCCGTCTAAGGCAGTACTTCACATTAACCTGCCGAGACCCGACTGACCTTGCGAGCTCTGTAGCTTCGTTCATGGCGGCGGATGGCGCGATAAGCGTGCTGAGAGAAGAGTGGGAGGCTGTCGTGCTTGGTCGCGAGGCTGGTAGGTAGATTCTACTGCTCCAAGCTGTCGCGGATCTCGTGGAGTGTTTTGGAAGGTGGAGTAAGTAAAGTCGAAGTAAAGCAACCGTTGTGTACGTTTCAAGATGTGCGGCCCGCCACGCGCTCAGACCAGCTCCATCTCATGCCGACATCCGCTTTCACATGCACGCCAAGCATTTCGATCCAGAGACTCCTCAGCGGCAATATTATACTACACTGCGATGCTTCATGCTGAAAGAAGATTTTCGAATCATCGAGCCTTCCAGAGCACCCAGGTCTGCGAGATCCGGTCCGCTGAGGATGTCATTGCACTGGTGAGCTCTTAGCCTCTCCAATCGCTTCGCAAACCGAACAAGTGGTTCATCCACAAACTTCCAGAACAGATGAGCAACGACGATTGAAAGAGCAAGTATAGTCATCCATCCAATAAAGAGTCGACTAAAGTCCTTTGACTTAGGCCCCGTCCCGACGGTTGCAAAAATCTTTGGCTGTACAGCGAACCCAGCAGAAATTCCTAGAGCTGAGCTCGAGAGCCTCCTTGGAGAACTGTGAAGGATGTTGTTCCCACAGCCATGCTGCCATTCCGAATCTTTTAGCTCATGAACCTCTCCGAAAGCTCCGAAGCAAGCTTCGACCATCACTAGTAGCATAATGAACGAAGCAGGCAGAGACAGATGCAAGTTGCCAAGCGCTCATGCTGGGCAAAGGTCAAAACGGTATACGAAAGCCTTGTGCATGCGAATGTCACGAAGTGCACTCTGCGCTCTGTTCGATGACCAGAAATGGTGAAATGGTTCGAGCAGTGCATGAGCGCTGTATCATGGTCGTCACCAGAGGTGTTCAATTGATTGATAGCGATTCTGCGCAGTCTACTTGAGCAGTAAGACGCCTTGCTATAAGTAGTTCGACTCGATTCGAAAGTCATCGGATAGTGGTTCTGGTATTACGTGCAGTAGTGCGTAATGTTGCCGGCCGTTCGTGATGGCCATGTGCCAACCTAGGATACCCCTTTCATCTTTCTGGCATCACACGTAGTTGGGGTGGCCATCCTGTGCCCAAGACACCTAAGCCACCATGCTCCTCAACAACACTTGCCCAAACTTGTTCTAGCCGCCGCTGCTGCGACAACAGCACACAGCTCCCGCCGATTAGCCTCAAACCAGGAATTCGCTGATTTCATAATCGCAAAACGGCTCTCGGACTTTCTTGGTACCTCCCTCGCCGGAGAAGATCTCGCGCGTGAAGGCAATGAAGAATCCTGGCGTCTGTCCCAAATCCTCCAAGCCCTCCAAACTCATAAAGCAATCACTAGTGCCCCAGCTGCTGGCCAAATCTATGACTAGTGCTTTGACGATCAGGGATTCAGCGGGCATGATTTCGAAAGCAGTCTTCACGGCCACAGGCTATGTATCAACGACGAAAGACAGGGCGTGGAGAACACGCATAGCGGCGTTCTGGAGAGCGGGCATCATCCACATATCTGCTGATGCCCACCTAGCACACTTCGGTCAGCGAATTTGTCCTTTAAGGCGAAGCGATCAGCATTAGCATCAGTGCTGAAAGCGTTGATCTAAACGATGCATCGAAGCTGTTGAAGTACTCACAGGCGGACTAGACGCGTCTGGATGTCGGCAATTACCTTTGTGTGAAGCTCTGAACTCCGATCATCCTGGCATTGGTCAGTGAAAGCCAATTATTTGTCTCAGGCTCTGCTTACTTCGAGGTCCGATTTGAAGTCCGGCAGTTTCGAATTACACAGCCAATAGAGAAAAAGCTCGAAAGTGGCAGTTGTACAGCCTGGTAAGCGTAGACGCTTATCCTGGCCCTCCTTGAAGCGATCCTGCAATGACTTTTCGAAGTATGCAGAAGCATTGCGCAGCATCACTTTTTGGACGCTGAAGGTTCCGCCATCCTCGAGCGCGATTCGGATCATTTCATCCTGCTTGAAGGTACTACCACCATGTTAGTCACTCGACGCTTTCAAATGTGCGCCACATTGTGCTGTACCTGGCGAGCTTTGTGAGCGCCTCCATGATGAGCGGCTGAAGTGCAGAGTCGTTGGTGTGTCGAGAGAGAATGGTTAAGTACGTGCGGTAGCCGCATGTGCGAGCGGAAGAAGGGGGAGGAAGCCGCTCAGCTTGCTGTGCGAACGTTCTCGAACGGCAACGCCTCAAAGTGGGTCTCGATGCGAAGCGAGACCCAAGTGAGCTTCACCTTTCACCTCCTCCCCACCGCTCAGCTTCACATCCCCGCCAACGCTCCCGCACGCAACCAGGCAACCTTTATAAACAATCTCAAACCCCTCAGCATCGAATCAAAAGCAAGCATTCGAGGAAATTGACTTGAACCGCTTACAAAGCTCAGAATTGGTACGGCCCCTGGAGCTTTGCTTTACTCGTGGCAGAGAAATCTGCACTGAGGTTTCGTTTAATAGAGGTGGTGTGTTGGACAAGTACTCACGGCTACTAGGGCTGTCTTCAATCTGAATTAATTCGGATTGAAGAAGCCTTTTGCTGTTTTCGTGGTCGTGGGTTCGAAATGTCGTTGAGGTGTTGACTTTTCTCTTTTGCCAGTAGGCAATCAATTTTCAGGGTTCATTTCGTTTTCATCTTCTTCATCCTTTTTATTCTTGCTTGCCCCAAACGGCCACACTCCCATCAACGCCAGCGCTGGCCCACATCTTTCTCAGCTGGTTCCAGGCCACAGCGCTCACCACATCCTTTTTGCTCGGCTGACCAGCACTGGCAGCACCTCCCTCTTTATGCCAAACCTCCTTCACCATATCCCCACTCAATACATCCCAAACCAAGACCCTCCCATCCTCAGTCCCACTCACAACAAAAGCCTCCGCACCCGCCAACGTGCTCCGAATCCGATACGTCTCGTTCACAAACCCTTCGTGACTAAAAGTCTGCAAACACTTCCCCGTCGCTCGATCCATAAACCTCAGCTTCGAATCAAGACTACTAACCAAATACCCTTGCCCATCCCTGGTCGGCATCAAACTCGTAACACCCTTCCCAGGAGCCACAACATCCGTCTCCAACCTCCCCATCGCCAAATCATAAACCCTCACCCTCCCATCCACACTCCCCACAAAAATCTCATGCCCCTGGATCTTGATGCTAGTAACAGAATCCCTAGCCTCCCCAAAGCTCATAACAGCTTTCTCACTCCTCGCTTTCAGATCCCAAATTTTAACAGTCGAATCAAAACTCCCGCTCACAGCAACAGAGTCTCCCTCGCCTCCAAACGCCACGGCATTCACTCTAGCAGCATGTCCGCCGAATCTTCGCAGTGTCTGAGCAGTGGCGACATCCCAGATGAAGACCGTCTTGTCGCCGCCTCCACTTACGAAGCGTTCGTTTTGGGAGTCGACGGCAATGTCCAAGACTTCGTAGCCGTGAGCTGAGTATGCTTGGATCAAGGGACGTTGGGAGACTGGGTTCCAGAGTCGGATTTGGCGGTCTTGGGAGCCGGTGAGGATATATTGACCTGTACCGGAAGAGAAAGTGAGGGCGTGGATTGGACTGTTTGAGGGGTTTGTGAGACGAGCGAGTTGCGTCGTCGGGAAGGATGAGTCGCTCATGGCATGGTTGGTGTGGTTTCGATTGTTGAAGAATGAGCTTCAAGGTCCGTATGAAGTGCAGTTCTTGCCAAGAAATGCATAGTGGAGCTCGACCATGATTGCTGCAGGGGTCGCACGCCACAACATGTGTTCGGCGCACGGCAGCAGCAGCGTGTGGCCATGCATGACCAAGAATGACGAGATGACGAGAAAGAGACAGCTTCGAATAACATGCCACGGGCTATAATTATGCTCACTTGAATTAGATACTGAGATACAGCTAATAGAGTATCCTTTTGATCCCCAGCGGCGCTAGCAATGCTCGGCACTCAATGCCAGCATTTGCCACAACACCAGCGCTTGCTCCAGTCCGAATAAACACAATGAAAAGCAGTATTGAGGTATCTTTGCAGGCTCGCACCAAAACATTCCTATCCACGCTCTTCCACTCCGTCCGATGCTTGCTGCGAGGGAATGCGCAGCGCATGTGACTTCTGCTTGGCGGTCGCAACTGTTCTGCCGTAGCCTAGTTGGTGATTCCTGATCGATTGTCGCATTCTAAGTTCTGGATTTGTCGCTTAGCGTCTGCCGGTCCTGGACATGCTTCCCTGCAGACCCTCGACTTCAGCTTCAAGCTGCTTGATGACGGCATGGCTCTGCTCGAGATCCTTGTTCAGGCGGTCTCTCTCAGCAATGAGCTTCTGCTCCCATTGCCTAAATCTCTGCTCTTCGACCTTGACCTGTTCCGTGAAGCGCTTGCGGAGTTGTTCTTCCTCCTCCTTGAACTTGGGGTTGTCCAACTTTCGTGGCCGTGCCTCGCCGAACTTTCTCGTCTCCATTTGCTGTGCGCGGTACGCCTCGTAATGATTCTCTTCGGTGGTGTGGATCAGGTCAAGCATGTGTGTGCGGATGAGAATGGCGCGAAGCTTCTTGAAATCGCAGTGCTCCTCGTTCTCAACCTCAGCGACACCCCAGGCGTATTGACGACCCTTGACGGTGCGGCCATCTGGAGTGCTAACATCCCGCTCCGATCCTATCACAGAGAATGGCATAGCGGCGATCAAGCTGCGAGCGTGCTGGAGACCGGCCTCATCATCCTCCTCAAGCGGTGGTTGGTAGATCTTGATGCCCTGAGCCTCAATGACATTTCGAATCTGCACACGTCATTAGCTGGCGAAGTGCATGAAAACTGTTCGCGCTCGCCTTACTCTGTGCTTGAATCTAGCCAAATCTTGGGGCGAAAGAGTGTCGGCCTTTGCAACGACTGGGATCAGGTTGACACGTGTGCAGAGACGCTTCATAACCTCAATGTCCAATGGCTTGAGAGTGTGGCCAGTTGGACGGATGAAGTACAGGCAAGCGTGCACTCTCAGGTCAATCTTGTCCTGTCGCTTTGGCTGCTGCTCTTGAAGCATGTAGCTCTCGTGCTGGTCGTCCAAAAATTCTATAATTGGCTGCCAGCTGTCGCGGTTGTTCACATAGTCGCCAAAGCCAGGAGTATCGATGACGGTCAAGCGGACCTTGAAGAACTTCTCCTCCAGCTCGGCCTTGGTGATCTCGATCTCGACCGTCTTGTCAATCTGCTTGGCGTGACGGCGGCGGTGGTCGGCGTAGTTCTTGATGGTCGTGCTGAACAGCGTGTTGATGAAGGTTGTCTTGCCCAGTCCTGACTCGCCTGCGACCATGATGGTGAAGGCGGCACCACGCTTGGCCACGATCTTGTGGCGCTGGTTGGGAAGCTGCGCGCTGCATCAGTACGCTGCGCCAATGCGCACAACGGCAGTCTCCGAGGATACGTACATTGGCAATACCAATCGGCGACCCTGATTCGGCCATGACGAATTCGGTCGTCTTGGGGGGAGGCGGAGGCGGAGGCGGCTTGCTCGGTGGTGGTGAGGATGGCGCTGGGAAGTCGGAGGTCGGTAGAAAGGTACCGGGAATGTTGCGGAGTCTGAGCTGGCTGAGGCTCTCTGTGACTGTTGCTGTGGCTGTTTGAGACATGTCAGTCGATGGTGCACGTTGCCTGCGTGCCGAGTGTCGTGGTGATGCCGGAGTCTCGACGGCAGCACGCGCGTCTGCTGCGAAATGACACTCAATGGCTCAGGGTGAATGCTGCGTACCAAGGAGCTCAGGGGGCTGGGAGGAGCGCTCCCGACGGATCAACAGCGGCGAGCGAGAGGGAGGCGCTGCGGTGGTCAATCGACAATTGCGACTGCCAAAGACGGTGATGGTGGCAAAGGATGGATGGATGGATGGATGGATGGATGGGGAGTTGCGATGCCCAAAGTCTCCTTTCCAGCAGGGCAGTGAGGGCACTTACCGTCCGAATTGGCGCGTCTGTGCCGGCCAGCGTTCGACCGACGAATCGGCGAAGGCGGACCCTGCCGTCGCGGCTCTGCAGGGTCTCGCGCTGGGGACCGAGCCGCATGCAAAGACTGCATGTGAAATTTTGGGCGTTGCCGTGTGTTGAACGGTACCACCACCACGCTTTGCTTTGCTCCTCGGCTGTGGTATCTGGCGTGTGAGGTGCAGAAGTGCTTGCTGCGGGCGCTTGCAACATGAAAACGGACTTCAAGGTAGGCGCGACCCGCTTGTGCGACATCAGAATGTGCTGGCCACGCACCGCCGACGCCAACGCCAACGCCAACGCCGCCGCCGCCCGACGAGACTGACGTTGACCCAAAGCGTAGTTCTCGAATCTGCTGGGCACAGTGTACCGCAAGGGCAACTTGGTCTACACGCCCGATGGCAACGCCCTGCTGTCACCCGTCGGCAACCGAGTGTCGGTGTTCGACTTGACCAACACCACGTCACATACTCTGCCATTCGCCCACCGAGCCAATGTTGCCCGCATAGCACTGCATCCCAAGGGCCAACTCCTGCTCACCATCGACGAATCCGGCCATGCCATCCTCTCCCATCTGCACCGGAAAATCCTGCTGTACCACTTCTCGCTCAAAAGTGCTGTCTCGTCGCTGGCCTTTTCACCCACTGGCAACCACTTTGCAGTCGCTCTGGGCAGGAAGATCCAAGTATGGAAAACGCCCTCAACGCCTGGCGCCGCTGAGAGCGCAGATGGCGGCGATGCTGGGCTGGAGTTTGCGCCCTTCGTCAGATATCGCGAATATGTTGCGCATCACGATACCGTCCAGCACATCGAATGGAGTAGCGACTCGAGGTTCTTCCTTTCCGCAAGCAAAGACCTGACCGCACGCATATGGAGCTTAGACCCCGAACCAGGATTCACGCCGACAGTGCTATCTGGACACAGAACAGCAGTCTATGCGGCATGGTTTAGCAGAGACCAGGAAACCATATACACGGTTTCGAAAGACGGAGCACTGTTCCAGTGGCAGTACTTGCCGCCTCCACACGCCGACCCTGAGAACATCAACGAAGAGGACGAACGATGGCGCATCAGCGAGCGACACTACTTCTTCCAGGACCAAGCACATTTGACCACCGCGGCCTTTCACCCGCCCTCAAACTTGCTCGTCACTGGCTTCTCGAATGGCTTATTCATGCTTCACGAATTGCCAGCTTTCAGTGAAATACACAAGCTGTCCATATCGGCCTCAAACGTGGACACCGTATCCATCAACAAATCAGGAGAGTGGCTGGCCTTCGGCTCGTCGGCTCTCGGCCAACTCTTGGTCTGGGAATGGCAGAGCGAATCATACATCCTCAAGCAGCAAGGCCATTTCGACAGCATGAATGCCCTGACGTACTCGCCATCAGGCGACCGAATAATAACGTGCGCCGATGATGGCAAGATCAAAGTCTGGGATACTGCATCTGGATTTTGCATCGTCACCTTCACTGAGCACACTTCTGGCGTAACGGCCTGCGAGTTTGCGAGACGTGGAAACGTTCTTTTCACTGCTTCGCTGGATGGCAGTGTGCGAGCCTTCGACCTGATCCGCTATCGATGCTTCAGGACATTTACGGCACCCAAGCGTCTCAGCTTCAGCTCCATCGCAGTGGACCCAAGTGGTGAAGTAGTGGCAGCTGGTTCTCTCGATGACTTCGATATCCACATGTGGAACGTGCAGACTGGACAGCTATTGGATAACCTGAACGGCCACGAAGGGCCGGTATCAAGTCTAGCATTCGCACCCAATGGTGGAAACCTTGTCTCTGGCAGCTGGGACCGCACTGTGAGAATCTGGAACGTCTTCGATCGCACACCCACATCGGAGCCACTGCAGTTGCAGGCAGATGTGCTTGCAGTGACAGTGCGGCCGGACAGTAGACAGATCGCGGTATCCACGCTCGATGGTCAACTCACCTTCTGGAACCTCAGCGAAGCCACACAAGAAGCTGGACTTGACGGGAGGCGAGATGCTAGTGGTGGCCGAAAGGCGACGGATCGCAGAACAGCTGCCAACGTGACAGGCACCAAGGCGTATGGTACCATTGCCTACAGCGCGGACGGCACAGTCTTGCTCGCCGGTGGCAACAGCAAGTACATTACACTGTACGCGGTCGAGACGGGTGTACTGCTGCGCAAGTTCACAGTGAGTGTGAACCTCAGTTTGGAAGGCACACAAGAGTTCCTCAACTCAAAGCTCCTCACTGAAGCCGGGCCACGTGCATTGCTCGACGAACAAGGAGAAGCCTCAGACCTGGAAGACCGAATGGACAACTCGCTCCCGGGTGCCAAACGTGGCGATGCTGCTCAACGAAAGACCGGGCCTGAAGTCCGCGTATCTGGTGTTGCTTTCTCCCCAACCGGCCGAGCTTTCACTGCCGCAAGCACCGAAGGACTGCTCATGTACTCCTTAGACACCGGCGCTGTCTTCGATCCTTTCGATTTGGACGTCGATATCACCCCAGAAACCACGCTCGAAACACTTCAGAACCAAGAATGGCTGAAAGCAATAGTCATGGCTTTCCGTCTAGGTGACGACAAGCTCGTACGGAAAGTCTACCTCTCTATTCCCGTCTCTGATATTGGCCTTGTCGTGCGCGATTTACCACAGGTCTACCTCGATCGACTGCTGCGATTCGTCGCGAAAGAAGCCGACCAAAGTCCACATTTGGAGCTGAACTTATTATGGACCGAAAGCGTGCTCGGTCAACATGGTCGACTTCTGAAGCAAAAACAAGGCGAATATGCCGAAGTCGTACGGATGATGCAAAGAGCTATTGCCAGAGTCCAGGGCGAGATTATGAAAATTGCAGATCAGAATGAGCATACCATTGATTTCCTCCTGGCGCAGCCGAGGCGAGAAGCACAGCCTGAAACCCCCCTCAAAGCGATCACGAATGGCGGTGCTGAGGAGAGTGATGAAGAAATGGAAGATGGTGCAGCAGAAGAAGAAGAAGAAGAGGGGTGGATTGGCTTGGAATAGATGCAGGATTTCTGTTCAAGGCATTTGTAGAAATAGATGACATGTGATACCCAGCATCATTGTACAACCCGTGGCAGAACTGAATCTCTCGTTCTTTTAGTCCCAATTGTCCTCCATACTACGTTGCTGTGCCTCCTGATGTAAATCTATGCATCCACGTCAGCTTCTTCGCTCACAAATAGCATCGACAGGCATAACCTTCCACTGCATCAGTCCTTCTTACCATAATACCCATTCTTCTTCCTCTCCTTAGCCGTCTCGCAATCCTTTTCCGTACACAGCGGATTATCGGTCCAGCAACGCTGGCATAGCTTCTTGCCGCTCTCGCCCGGACCTAGATTGTGTTTCTTGAAGAGTACGCAACGCTTCCCGTCCCCGTTCAAACGTTCCGTCGGACATCCTCTGTCGGTTTTGTATATTCCAAACTCAGTCGAGCTCGTTCAGGCGTGGGATGGCAGCCATCGCCCCAGCCTTCCCTACCGTCTTCGAGGCCGCCAAATTAGCAAAGTTTAACGCAGACTGGTAGTCAAAGCCAGGACCGGAATGCCGTGCTCGCATGATAGCATAGCCTCCCACGAATGTATCACCAGCAGCGGTGGTGTCCACGACCTCGACTTTGCGTGCTGGAACATGACCGGACTCTCCAGAGGCCGTAGCGTACAGAAGTCCCTCGCCGCCCAGTGTGATGATCACCGCATCCTTTACGCCTTTCCGCAAGAACTCACCAGCCAGTTGAAGAAGTGCATGCTTGTTGTTGATTTCTGCTTGGCCGGCGAGAATGGCAGCTTCGGTCTCATTCATGATCAAAGTGTGCATGAATCGATATGCCTCATCCGGCAATTTGACTGCGGGAGCAGGATTGAAGACGACGTGCTTGCGCATCTCCGTACTTTTCCGCATGTTGAACAGGACAGTTGGCACGGGAATTTCCAGTTGAAATACCACGACCTCGGCATCCTGCGTGCTCACGAGATCTTCATCCTCGGCAAATTCCATGTTGGCATTGGCCACGAACAAGATGCGGTTCTCGCCGGTGGCTTCTTCCACAATAATGTTCGTGACTCCCGTCTTCGCGCCTGCACGCTTCCTCACCCCGCTTCCATCGATGCCTTCCGCGCCAAGAGCCTTGAGATAGTCATCCCCGAAGCTGTCGTCGCCGACCGCGCCGATCATGCGGACCACGACATCCTCACCCGCGAGACGTGCGGCAGCGACGGCCTGATTTGCTCCTTTCCCGCCAAAGCCGGTGTCAAAGCCCAAGGCGGCAAATGTCTCGCCGGGTAGGGGCAATCTTGCTGTGCGTGTGATGAAGTCGATGTTCAGCGAGCCGATCACGGCGACAGTCTTGTTTGCCGGCATTGTAGGGATATGATTCGAGAGATGTTGATGCTGGCCACGGTGCAGGTAAGATCAAAGGTTTGCAAGGAATTTTTCTCGGCAAGAGATGGATACTGTATCCACGGGTAATCCACGTGATTGTCAACGGAATGCTCAACACTCATGATTGGGAACAGTGTCGTCAGGTGCAGAAATGGTAAAGATATGATGAGTAGAAAAGAAGGGCACGGAGACTATCCTTGCGCTTCTTTGATGCAGGGGACGAAGTTAGAAAAGTGTCCTCAATTACACCCTTCACCCGTTTCCTTTCTTCAACCATGGCACTTTCTCGCGCGAGGATCGCGTACAACCACAGTTCCCTCACTCCTCCAGTTCATCGGCTTCGTCACATCCACTCAGACTATGTAGTCCATGATGTCCTTGTACAAGTCACAGTCGCAGTCCTTCGCAAGCGGGCAACTAGGCTATTGTAACGTCAGCTTTGCATGTTGATGCAGTCGATAGCACTCGCTCACCTTTGTGCAAATGCTCTGCAGCGCTTTGGTTGTTGGAGGCACAGCGCCTGCAGGCTTCGAGCAACGATATCCGAAGGTGTCCATGAGTGCCTTCGCGATGGTTCCGACATCCTCCTTGGAGACACCATAAGACGAAGCTGCCAGACCAACTTGAGTGATGAAGTAGCCGAATTCCTTCTCGCCCAGTCTCATGAATTTGTGCACCTTGTACATGGACGGATCGCCGTCATATGGCTTCACACTGGCTCCGAATTGGCTACAGCCGAGTAAGGCTGCGAAGTAGGAGTACAGGTGTGTCAGCAACACACTGCCATCGTAAGCACATGCGTAACCCATAAGATTAGTTGAGGATCACATACAATTGGTTTGATTTCGGATCATTGCCAGCCTTGTTATTCTTCAGGGGGTCAGCACCGCCACCGTCGAGCCAGTTGACCGAAATCCCCGCCTTCCCCGTCTGGCCAATCGCCTCGGGATTGGTCGTCTTGAGGGCGCCCGAGAAGTATGGTGCCAAGTTGACGCCGGCAAATTTCCCCGTGCCTGGTGCTAATATGCCTGGCACGGCGATACCAACATTTGGCTTCGTGTACTGCAACATGATGGTCAGCTCGACGTCTCCATCCAAACTTCTCGATACCCTTACGTTTCCGATCACAACAGCATTGACCACGAGAGTCAGGAGCGTCTCTTGGTTTGCTGCAGTGTTGTCCTTAAGGAGAGCAGTCGTGTACTTGTCGCATAGCGAGGGATCTGCTCTGCTCTCGAGGTCGACTGCAGCGTGGGCAGCAGCGAGACAGAGGAAGATGCTATAGGACTTCATCTTGTGTCTGTAAGTGGTCCACGGAAAGGTGTGATGGGAGCTGCTGATGGAAAGTGCAGCGAAAGAGGACGAATAAAAGTAGTGGTAATCATACTTGCACATGTGAAGAGGGGTTGGCAGCATTGGTGCTAGTGGACATGGGAGACTCGTCCGTAATTCAAGTGTCCCATGCATGTTCAGCTCCCTGTTGTGGGCCTTGCATGCTCGAAAAAGCTGTTTGGCCGTGTTGCAATTCGTGAGGATGCAGACGGGCAAGGTATGAGATCCTGTTTGCTGCTTGTGTTGTCGGGTCGATGGTTCTCCGGCGTGTTGGCTGTCTCATGAGGACCAATCGTGAAGGCGAGGCACAAGCTGTACCCTGTCACCAATATAACTATTCCTTGTCAATGCTCATCTTGATTAGTCTTTAAGCATAGATATAAGAATAGGCTTGAGCTTATCGGCGGGGTTAGCCAACGAGAGTAATGCCAAATGTCAGCATCCTGGACTTCACTCTTGGGCCATCCGTGCTACGGCACTTGTCAACAGATCGAGAGACCTTGTCCACTCACCTCTCGAAGCCATGCGATTGGAGCGGTGCGCAGTGCGATGCAACGGTACTTGCTTCACGCAGAATGCTGACGTCTTTGATACGGCATGTTTCTTGACGAGATGACAGTTACATCAACAGCAGCCATGAGTTAAATTGTGCTGCCTTCTCTCTGGTCCAAGCCCTGGACGAGGTCGATCTCTTCCCAGGGACCCAAGATAATCGGTCGTCGGCGAGTGACAATTTGGATTGGCGAAATGACAGGTCGGTGCGGAGTGGACGTCTGTGTGTGCGAAGGCATGCTCTGGATCGAATCAATCACCAGTGGCCTGCAGGTGTTGCAGAAAGCTGGTGCCAGGTGGCTGGAAAACTGCTGTCAGCTTGTCAACAATCGCTTGCTCTCATCATTATTAGCTTCTCTTCTTGGGGCCTTGGGCCTTGTCAAGATCCTGGTCAAAGCAGAGGCACAGACCTCTTTCCAACTCAGGGCTCGATCGTCGATGCAATGAACATCGCCATTCGCCAGGCTCATTCGCATGGCAACGCATGCAGAAATAATGCCAGCGTTGCACGGACAGACAGGATGAGGCTGGAGCTGAGACCTTGTGGATCGAGATGACCACTGCCGATACCCTAGACACTTCACATGACTTTATTAGCGAGCCCTGTCTGGTATCTCTATGCAATTCTTGCACAGCTGATACCACAGCCTGATAGCTCGTGTCACGAGCGGCGTTATGATACGGAGGATTGTTATGCACAACGGAGCATGTTCGAAAGCGTGGCGTAGCCACAGAGCAGACCGTGTCGAGACAAAGTGCGTGCCTGAGGACCGCTTCTGGCTGCATTGTGCAGAATGGTGGACAGGCGGGATATGTGTGTTGCTCTGGCACCAGCAGTTCCTGTACCCAGCCACCAGCAGTACCGATGCTGCGCTGCAACTTGCTCAATGCTAACAATAGCTCAGCTCAGCTCAGGTCGTGACCGTCGTGTTGACAGCAAGTGCGCGAAGGAAACGACCTCGTGAGTCGTGAGTCCGTCCACGCCTAGACCACTAGCCTGCTTTGGGCCTAGACCCCAATTCACTTCCTTCGTTCACTTTCACTCTTCCCCAGCTCTGCGTCAAGCAACGACAACGCCGCCCATCTAATGATAACCTGCGCGCTGACACCAGGCAACCGATTGCATTTCCGGCGAGCTTGACCGTCAGCTGTCGCATATCACGTCAGGATCATACCCGACTCCGTGATCGTCATTGAGCTCTGTGCTGCTCCTTCTCGAGGCCATCTCTAAGTGAAATTCCATTGCCGGTCCAGGCAGGAAAAAGAGCTTGGAACAACATGTGATGCATGGTTGGGCGCGATTCGGCAAGCTGGCAACATCAAGCGCATATCGTTCATGCTCAAATGAGTGGTCGCTCGATGAAGGAACGGCGTGGTGGCTCTCTCGAGGCTCAGCATCAGCCTCCAGTGCGATGGTGTCGCGGCTGCGTCGAAGACTGATCTCGACATCAGAGTTCGCAGGGCGATGAGATCGACGAGAAGCAAGCCTCCGATCACCAGCAGGGCCTGACGAGTCGCTTGCCTTCTCTTTCTGCAGTTGCAAGATACCCACGCCCTGCTACTTTTGCAGCTTAATGATCCATCATTTCTTGCCATGCACGATCTCCAACTCTGACTCTAGCCGATTGTGCTCTCCTGCGGACACGCGCCTGAAAATGCTATTGCCACGCCTTGGGTCCTCCCTTTGCTCTTCCTTGTATCCCGCCTCTGATCCGGACCTTCCTTTCTATTCAGGGCTGTCTTGCCTTTTCCCATTGATGAAATGTGCGCCAGTCATCTTCCCTCCGGCTCCCAACGATGGCGAAGAGGTGGATATTGGCCGGTGTGGCGGCTATCAAAAAGCCTCCACTTTCCCTCGTGTAACTGAACTTCCATTGCAAAGCCGGGTTAAGCCCAGACCAGCAGCACTCAAAGTTGACAAAGGAGGGGAAGTGATGGATTGCTATATGGACTTTCTGTCATCTGGCCAGCTGAGCGGCGCAAGCTTGTCGCAAGGCAAGACATTCATTCAGCAACTTACTGATTTTCCATCAGGGTGTATGTCTTATCGCTGACGTTTCTACGGGTGCTTGCTTCGTGCAACTGTTCGAAGTGCTGCCCTGGTGGTGTCGAAGGTGGCTGTTCTGGGATAGCGATGCAGAGAAGCCGAAGTTGCATCACGTGGAATGATGTATTCGTCCGAAGCGAACACAGAACTCCTCCCGAATCCCCAGAAAGCCGAAAGAGCGTATGGCCACGTGAGAAGACCCACACAAGGCTGCGCGATCCCTGTCCAAGCTGTTATGAGATTTCGGGCAGATAGCCTTGATTGTAGCAGACTTTTAGCGTCCCATTCTTTTGGGTTCCTGCGGGACTGTCTCCACCATTCCGGCTAAGAAATGGCCCGATTATTAGGCGTATAATGGGACCCACTAAACTTACGGAAATGCTCGGTTTTCGTATACTAGCTCGGCTTGCCTAATTAGGCTGTTATAGTAGCTTCTAAGGTGTTACTGTCGCTGTCGCTGCTATAGGCCTATCTAATTCTTCCTCTTCCTTAGCCTCTTAATAGCTCGTAGCATTGTCGCCGCCTTTAGTCGCTTACGCTTGCTATTGCTACTATATTTATTAGAAGTCCGCCTCTTGCCTACTACCTCTCGTAGAGCGTTATTATTATCTAACTAAGGGAAGTCTTCTACTGCTTCTAAGTCTTGTTTTAATAGCGAAGCCTCTCTTGCTAGCGCCGCTAGTAAAGTAAGGTCTATAAGCTTAGCTGTTTCTTTAATAGTGTCTAAATCGAGCGGCTAAGCCGACTATATAGATAAAAGCGACTTACGCGGCTACCGCGGTAGCGGTAGCCGCGCCTTCGAAGGTAAGGGTCTAAAGGGCAGCGGACTCGGCGTAAGAAGGTCGATAATATAAGGGCGCGTTAGTAATAAGAGCGTTTTATTAAGCGGCGGAAGATTAAAGGCTCGAGGCCTATATTTAGTCGCTAGTAGAGGTAGTAGTAGTAGCGGAAGCGTTAGATAGCGAGCGCGCGTTAGAGTAATAGGTACCGGTAGAGGTTGTTGTATCTACTATCGCTATCGGTTACTAGTTAATTAAACCTTAGGCGCGCCTTCTCGAAGGAAGTCGTCTAGCGAGAAGTTAGCTAGCTAAGTAAGCGTGTCCTTAACCTTGCGTAAGAAGCCTCTTATAAATTTGTCCTTTAGCGTGCTATCGTAGATTGTCTTATCGTTACGGATAGTATAGAAGTGCTAAGAGAGGCCTTCTACGCCTTCGTTAAAGTAAGCGCAAAGGTTACGAAGATAAGGGTCGCTAGCAGTATATTAAGTCTCTTCGAAGCCCTCGAGGAAGAGAGTAGTACTATCTCGCTGCCGCTAGTATTAACTGATTTCTATACTATTAAAGCTATAGTAGAAACTAACGTAGAGCTATTGTTGCTATATAGTAAGCGGCGTTATAAAGAGGTAGTATCTTAGTATATAGTAGCATAGTAAATGCTACTAGAACTAAGGAAGGCAATTGCAGTAAGGCGGTTGTCTATCGTAATATAATACAAGGCCGTCGTATAGTAGCAATGCCTTAGCCTCGTATTCTTCCGTAATAGCGAGTTGTTTTCTAACGAAGTCCTATATAGTAGGAGGTATTAACTCCTCGAAGTATAGCATCTCTTTAACCTTCTAGTATTGCGTGCGTTTACTAATTCTATAGCTTTGTAGGTCCGCCTTGTATAGTTGTCGAGCGTCGATTGTTAGTAACTTAGTTATAGTGCTATATATCGTTAACTAAGGGAGGTCCTTCTTCCGGTCGTATTTAATAGTATTATAGTATCCTTCTAGTAGCGATGTAGTACGTATTTGCATAAGGACTAGATTGTTTAAACGAGCCTATATAGCCTATTTCTATAACTTGTCCGACGACCAATTCTTTAGTAAATACTAAGTCTCTTCTTACTTATTAAGGAGCCGCAATTCGGCTTCTATCGTAGTAATAACCTCTTTAACCTCTGCCTCACTCCGAGCCTAATAAATGGCCCTCTTAAACAGTCTCTAGACTATAGGGTACTTGAATTTAGGAAAGTGTCGAAGGAAGGTCTCCTTAGCGTACCGCTAGTAGAGATATAGTCGTATTTCCTCGTCCTCGTCGAAGGACAGTCGAATAGCCGCTTGTTCTTATACCGAGTCGTTAGTTATAGCTAACTTCGGCTTCTAGCGAGGGCACTACCGCTTTAGGACTCGGAAAGCAGCTTACTAAAGCCTCGCACGCTGTGTTTATAGCAATATATATACTACTAGTATCTAACTTTCGAATCTATTACAGACATATACTATAAAGAGATGCTAGCCTATATTAGTAGTCTTATGCGTTGCGTCGTAGAGAAATAACTAATCCTAGATTAGTCGCTACTTTGCGGTTCCTATAGCCTAATTATATAAGCGGGGTAGTAGTAGTAGTACACTTACATCTCCTACTAATCTATTGTCTAATAACTGCCTCTGCTAATCCGCCTGCTATATAATACCCTTATAAAGGCGCCCTTCTATAGTTGCTAATATAGCTTTATACTATAACTAAGCGCCGTTTACTAGATTAGTTAATAGCGATAGCTCGTTATATAGGTTCTCGAGTTAGAGGGAGATATTGCCCTTCTTAGCAAAGGTTACCTTTTTCTTGTCCTTCTTCTTAGACTATTTTATTATACCTTCCTTTATACGATAGCCTCTAATAACGGCAAAGCGGTTAGCGTTACGACCTTCCTTTATTAGATAGAATACACGAGCTATATTATAGTCGTATTAGTCTATTAAGTGCTCGAGAACGACCTTTAAGCCGTTACTAGCACCTCGTACGTCCTGCTTACTATATTAGCTTCTAACTCGACTTAAATAGGCCTCCGCTATCGACTCGAGAGGCAACTCTACTAAACTTACTATATAATCTATCGAATAGTAATATAGCGAGCCCGCCTCGGCAGAAGGGTCGGGCAACGACAAAGCGACCTTATATATATACGGCTCTCTATAGTTCTTCGAGCGATATATAGCAATTACTATATACGTCGCATTATACCCTTCCTTATAATACTCTACCTTCTAAATACTATCTAGTACCTCGCGTAGCCGATTAGCATCCTACCGATAATAATAATAGTATATTGTCCGCTATATTAAGCTATCCTTATACCTCTCCTATAGCTTCTAGTACTAGAAGTTGCTAGCAAATAGCTACACCTTGCTATATTTGTCGGCGTCTAAGAATAGGCTATTTAAGGGTAGATTAAAGAGCTAAGAACGCAGTAATATATCGAGATAAGAGGGGATTAGATAGGCTATTGTAATAGTTAGAAAGAGCGTAGAAATTGGCCTACCTGTATGCCTATAACAATACCTTATATATAGCTATATAGCTAATTTTTCGTCGATATAACGACTTCCTACTATGATATGAAGTCGCCGACTAATAGATCCTCGGTATGCCCGATTTGGCTAGCAAAAATGGCTATATCTCGATTTATTAATCGACTCCACCACCACCGAGTATATCCGTAAATGTAAGCAATCCACCACAATCCTTGCACGCTAAAAGTCTGCTACATCCAACACCATCTATTTCGGGCCCGAGAAATTTGTGCAGCCGATTCCTCCTCAGGACCTTTCGCTGTTGCGGCGCCGCGTAGCAAGAAGTCGTGTCGTTTGATCATAATCACTTGCCGAGTCCTGGTGATGGTGATTGAGTGTCAATAGCTCCTACTTTATAAGTATATAGAGAGTATTAGTTTCCATTCTATATATATCGGCTAGTTGGTCTAGTGGTATGATTCTTAACTATTAATGATTCTATTTCTCCCGGCTATACTACTTAATATAGTCCCCGCTATATGAAGGTATATGTCTTAAAGGAGTTATAAGATCGATGGGGGTTAAGAGGTCGTAGGTTCGAGTCCTACACTAGCTATTTTTTTTTATTTATACGTAATTAATAGGAAATATACTTGTCGTAGGTTCGAGTCCTACACTAGTCCTACACTAGCTATTTTTTTTATTTATACGCAATTAATAGGAAATGTACTTAAATCTTGAATTAAATATTACTACTATCAAGCTAATACCCTAGCTAATAAGCTAAGAAATCCGGGGTAAGTTAAATTCCCCTTTAATCTTTGTTTCGATTGACGTTCTACGCTGAAATCCGGGGTAAGTCAAATTTCCCTTCAATCTTTGATTGCATATTACTTCTGCGAAATTTCTCAGCCAATCATTTCGGTCTTGGCGGACAACTTGGATTTTCGCGGGCGGTGGCCGCGGTGTCTAGATTGGCAGCTGCGCTGCCAAACATGCCAACAGATCCATTCTTTGACTCAATCTGCTCTCCAGACAACATCGAGCTACCCTTATCCGCCAAGTAATCCTGCATCCTCATATCGCAGAGCTAGGACGATGACAACAGCTTCGATTCCAGTGGTTACAATCGGAGGGACGAGACATACAGCTCTTCAGATGTCATCGATTTTCGATAATACGCCGTATTATGTTGCAGCTGTGCTCGCTTGAACTGAAGCTCCGGCGCAGGATCGCTTCACTCCACAGGCTCACATGGAGGAAGAACGGTGCTCGAATATCATGGCGCTCGATGAATGGAGATCATTCGGCTGTCTGGCAGCGACCAGCAGCTGCATAGAATAGAGGTACAGTACGCACTAATGTTCCCCTCCGACTCCGCGCTATGCAATTGACCGCGGGCGCCGCTCATCTATGCGATACACGTCGTTAGCAGCGTTAAGATATGTTATGTGCAAAAGAAGCTCCACGAGCTTAGCAGCCTCATCTACTTCTTCTCCGCGAAGTCCGAAGCTTGGAGATTTCGAGTCATAGATGGCAGCTTCACCACCAGGCCATCTAATTCCTTGCTCATAACAACCTGACAGCCTAGGCGTGACGTTTCCGTCAAGCCGAATGCCAGATCGAGCATGTCATTTTCGTCATCCGAAGGCTCTTCCTGTCAGTCTTGTCAGCTAAATATTCTTCCATTCCATACGAAAGGGTCGCGGATCAAGCGTACCATCTTATCAAACATCTCATCTTCTGCAACAATAACATGACATGTACTGCACGCGCAGCTTCCACCGCATGCACCCTCCATCTCGAGATCGTTGGCTTGCGCTATATCCAGCAGATTGTCGCCATCTGCCACTTCAAATGTGTGCTCTTGACCTTCCTTGTCGATGAAGGTCACCCTTCGCTCTTCTCCCGGTTTGGGTGGCGTAATATCACCATGCTGTAGCACAGAGGATGTCGTGAAGGATCGAACATATAAATCTGCGGCTGCGCATCTTCTCGGACTTTTCATGGCAGAATTGATGGGTGAGCATCGCGTCCGGTTTGGCAAAGATGATGAAGATGCAGTATGTGATGATATGGCTCTTGGCCGTATGTGCTGCGACTGTGGCCGTGGCCATCTACATATCGGCGTGGTGTTTCGTGCTCTGGATGGCATCGTCTTGGATGTTACCCGCCATGCGGCTGTACATTGCGGCCGAAGCATTGCTATTGAGAATTTTGAATATACAAGTCGCGCCACTGTTCGATGCCCAGCATGGGCTAAACGAAACAGGTCGGAGTGGATGCTCGGGACGGAGTGAGAGACAATCGAGTTGCACTGCACCAGACCACACGGGCTGCAGCAGCTTTACTTTCGTGCCAAGACGGGGGATTGTTTGCGGAGCTCGCGGCGACATCATCAGCCAGCCAGCCAGCCAGCCAGCTTCCAAGTCTCTCGACTCGACCACTCGGCCACCATACTTCCATGACGGACAAGCCTGTCAGCGCACATCGCCAACATGGATCGTGGTGAGCGCTTTCCGATGGCGCCCTCACGAGAACCAAATCTACTCCGCCCATACTACATTCCGCCATCCGTTGGACCATCGCCCTCACTATCTACGGCCCAAGGAGCAACACGAACGAGCGCCACGAATGCTTCAATCCGGCAGCCGTCATCGTTTTCGAACTCCGCGCGGGATTACTTGCCAGAAATCGATATCGATCTCAAGTCCACAACAAGCGAGGCATGGTCGCACACTCGGAGCTTGTTTGACACCTTGGCATGGAGATATACGTCTGTGATTCTGGCCCAACCCTTTGACGTGGCCAAGACTGTGTTGCAGGTCTCACTGCCACCTTCTGCAGCCACTGCGACGCCTCCGAAGAAGCGCAAAGGTCAAAGCACTGGATATGGAAGCAGCTCAAGAGGCAGGAGCGGGCGACGAGAGTTCTCCGAGGATTCTGACGACAGCGACGATAGCGACGATAGCGATCGAACCGATGACATCCCAGACTATTTCTCAGCAACGGCGCCACGAAGTCGATCACCTCGCAAACGAAAGAAGACTCCGCCGAGCGCCGACCTTTCTCAGTCACCTACGCCCAGGCCCAGGAACAGGCGAGAGCAGGACGGCGATGAGTACAGGGTCAACATTAAAAAGCCGGAAAGTGTGATGCATGCAGTTTCGGCTTTGTACAATACGTCTGGAGCAGTTGGTCTTTGGCGCGCGAGCAACACCACATTCTTATATTCGATCCTTTTGAGGACCACCGACTCTTTCATCAGAAGTCTATTGCTTGCCATATTAGGCTTGCCCGAACTCTCGGGGCCTGATCAAGCCGGACTTGCTCCAGGGCTTAGCATGTCTGGCGCTGCGGGCTTCAGCGGAATCGACCTCAGCGACAGTCCAAATGCCATCGGCTCCCTGATCGTACTTGGGGTATCGAGCTGTCTGACTGGATTGCTCCTTGCTCCACTCGATCTTGTCAGGACACGGTTAATAGTCACACCCGTCTCGCACGGCAAGCGAGGACTCGTGTCAAATCTCAAGCGACTACCCTCATTCGTCGCGCCATCTGACATGTGGTTGCCGACTGCACTCTATCACGCGATACCAAACATTTTCTCGGCTGCCACCCCACTGTATCTTCGGCGACAATTGCGCATAACACCTGAGCTTACGCCTTCATTATGGTCTCTTGCTTCTTTTGCTACCACGCTTACCGAGCTATTTATCCGCTTACCTCTGGAAACCGTCGCACGAAGAGCTCAGGTAGCATCGATCAAGCAATCCGAGCCAGACGTGCCGCTCATTGTCGAGCCAGCGCCTTACAGTGGTGTGTGGGGCACTGTCTATGGTATCATGTACGCTGAAGGCGAAACGACTACGAAGAGTGCAAATGGCATGCTTCGAACACGAAGAGGTCAAGGAGTGTCAGGCCTCGTCCGCGGCTGGCGTATCGGCTTCTGGGGTCTCGTTGGCGTATGGGGTGCTGGAGCATTGGGTCCTGGAGACAGCAAGAACAGAGAGTTCTAGGTGCGTGCAAGCAGTATTGTGCCACCATGACAGCGAGCGTTGTATTGCTTACCCTAATGATGATACCCAACTTTACCAATTTTGCATAGCGTTGCGATAAATCCGATGCACTCTTCTCTACTACAGACCATCTTTGATACAGCATCGATCTGCACTCCTTCAGCCACAGCGGCCGACCTTTAAGCATAAAATCTGTTCTTGGCAAGCTAAACGCACGAGTGCGCTACCGCAATGCTCTAGGTATGCTTTCAACCGAGTTGCGGCACAGGAAGCCCAGCACATCGCAATTCAGACTGTTCGCGACCACAATGAAGGTGCTGCGTATCTGTAGAATGTTCCAAGCATTTACGATCGAAGGTGATGAGAATGGACGCAGGCACGGATGGGACCTTCATTTGGATGCTTTGCAGCGATATATTCGGGCTTCTGGTCCTACAAAGGATCTAATCAAGAGCGATTTCGATTGAAGCTCTTCCCCAGAACATTCACTTCTGCAGCCTCTACCTCAGCATGGCGAAAAAGAACACATTTCTTATTTGAAGAACCCGAATGGCCGGAGCTCAGTCGTGAGCGGTCCAAGAGCGATCCCACAGTAGCACTTTACGACACACGAGCTCGAGCGCCTGAACTCTTGGCTCGTTGTGACAAGCTCATGGAGCATGAGACTCTGTATACGTCCTATCTCAACAGCCTCTACAACGATTTGTATGCTCTTCGAAGCGACTTCGGATCCTGGACGATAACTTTTGGCGACACACGTGGTTTCGACACCTTGCCCCAGGACCTCACTTTACCAAAAGGCACTTTCGCTGATGGCCAAGACGAGATGTGCTATACCTTTACGGACTCGAATCACGCATCTGTACGGACTAGCTGCTGGATGATGTTTATCTTCTATACGCATACAAAGACCATGTGTTGTTTTGTCTGAGGGCAAGACCATTACTGGGTTCGGGATCCTTCAAAGTCGCCGCTTATGCACGGTATGAGCACTTGCCATCCTCATCAGTGGAAAATTGGATAGGTGATGATGGGATTCAACACTACTCGGCATACATATCGAAGAAGGCCTCGCTGCCTACTGTTCTACCGCGACGACACATCGTCTATGAGACACAAGTGGCTATCAACAAAAAGTGGTTCCACGTGCTCACGCCAGCATTGAAGCACGCAGCCAAGCGAAAAATCCCTCATGCATCATCAAATAAGGCACAACTATGCGGTCTACGCTATGCCTTCATCGCCCGTACTTTCAGCCCTGAGAGCACTCTGGCTGCTGGTGTGGCAAGCCGTGGGATCGCTAAGGTCGAAGAATGTAGAAAGTTGGGAGGCATTGTGCGACACGATAAATGAAATTGTCAGTTCGCATTGAGACTGCGAGATGACGAGTGCCTGAGAGGAGTGTTTGGACGAAAGGGTGCGGCAAAGGAAGCATGATGCGACTCTCCGACTGGTTCACAGAGCCATAACACCCGGTGGTTCCACTACACGTGCAAATTATGAACGTGGACCTACCATCTGATGTGGAAGTCATTAAATGTCGAAAATGCGTCGATTTCTCTACGATGCGGATATTCATCTCCTGTGACTTTTACTAGCCTTCTCCCATGGAGCTCTCGATTCTCGCTGGCATGCAGAGCAAGCAAATTCATGTCCAGATCCACGTTGCGATCATCCTTGCTGCAATCAGCCCGGAGGCTTAGCATATCGCCAGAGTATCTTGAAGTACCGGCAAGTCTTCAAGGTCAGCCAATGCTTGGAGTTAGGTTCTAGCAAAAGCTTCATCGATGCCACGTTCAACGGAATGAAGCTTTGCATCTCGGAATTTCACCATGAGAGCAGACCGCAAAACTTTGCTCGAGCTGTATCAGTGCTGCGCAATAATCTTGGTCCACGCGGTGACAACCGGGTCTTACATTGCGTGCAGGCTGACCTCAATATCTTTGAGTGACTCGTCGGTGAAGTAATGATTGCTTTGGAAACGTTCACATTCTGATCGTTATCAATGTCGTTTCCGTCGAGTATCACGCTGCAAGCGCCTGGGTCTCGATGGTCAAGAAGCTGTATCGATTGACACTCCGGAGAACTACGTTGGATCTCATTGCTCTTTCTGCATTCCAATTGTCGTTTCTGCTGACTGTTATGCTGTAAGCATATCGATCTCGGTTGTCGAGTAGCTGTTGCGCTTTCATCGAGTCCCATTGTCGTCGCTTCCATTGAATCCAAGGCTACAAGGCTGGTCAGCTCAATGCTCGAGTAGCTGTGTCGATGTATGTCATGGAGCAGCATCTGTACGAAAACCGTTGTGAGTCAAGCACAATGCCAAGGCCAGCTGAGTCACCACGCTACATAATAAGAATCCCGCTACTGCACCTTTCAACGGTCGATGAGGTTTCTGCTGCCTCAAACTCACCTCACACTTCCACCAAGACATGTCAATCGAAGCGTAGCGGGGCGGGGCTTTTGCTCCCCTACTACGACTACGACTTCATCCGCCACCACATTGCGGCTGTACGCGACATACATACCACAGCCATGGCGTCGAACACTGCGATTGACTACAACGAAATCCAAGAGAACGAGATCCAGCTGCTCGAATCGATGCATTCCGAGAATTTCGAGCATGTGGCGACGCACGTCGGCGCGTGGAGCACGCCCAAGAAGAACATCTCGCGCACCTTCAGGCTGAAGATTACGCCGCCATCAGACCCGGAAGCAGCGGTTGCCCTGACAGTACGCTTCACCGCCACATATCCCAGGACCGCGCCTGCCCTTGAAGTCGACGCGTTGGAACAGTTCCACGAACGCACGCAGAAGAAGATTCGCAGGATCGTCCAGGAGCGACCCAAGAAGCTGACGGGCGATGACCCGTTCATCCACATCATTACCGAGGAAATTGCAGACGCGCTCGAGGACGCCGTGACGGCTCGCAAGAAAGGTGCTCTGCCCAGTCTCGACGACGAGCGCGCCACGGCGACCGAGACAGCCAATGCGCTGGCGAAGCAGGCAGAAGAGGCCGAGGCCGCGAGAGAACAGCAGCGTCTCGAAGCCGAGCTGGAGGAAGAGAGCGCGCTGCTGAAGATGGCAAAGGTCCACGTCGCCCGTCAAGAAAAGCGCAAGTCCTTGAACCCAGCCAAGGAGCTCCTTCCCAAGCAGACAGCGGCCAAAGACGAGATGCCTCGCAAAATTACGTTCGAACACTCATCCACCATCGACACGACTCACGGCTCCGAGACCTTTACCGACGTGCTGATTACGGGGATTCTGAGCCACACCGCCTCCGAGACCACCTTCCTTGCCAGTCCCACCACCAACGGCATCGCAGCGCTGGTGTCTATCAAGAGGAGATTCATCAAGAAGCCCAAATCCGAAATCATCAACCTCGAATCCGTCTTGGCTGCTGCTCAGAAGCTCAAGCATCAGAATCTGCTGAATATATATGCCTACCGCGTTTCTCAGGCTGGCGCAAGGACTGAGCTCTACATTTGCCGCGAATTCGCTGACAGGGGAACCCTCCACGATCATCTATCACACAGCGAAGTCCACCTTCCAGGCGCAAGACAGCTCACTCTCGAGCTACTGCAGGGTCTAGACTTCCTCCACCAACATGGCATGATTCACGGATACATCACGACGCGCACTGTATACCTGTCTGGCACCTCATTCTCTCCCAAGCTCTCGGGCTTCGGTTACAGCGTTGTTCTAGGCCTATATGACGAGAATCTTCCAGATGGCTGGCGCTTTTCCAAGACCAACGCCGAGTCGCAATCCTCTCAGCGCAAGGACATCTGGGACCTTGGCACAGTCGTAGTGCAGATCTTCCTCGGCCTTCAGGTCATCGGAGAATTCGCAAATCCCCAGCAGCTCTACAGTAGACGCGATCTATCACGCGCCTTTGTCGAATTCCTGCGCAAGATGTTCTCCACCGACAAAAAAGCGACCTCATGCTTCGACTTGATCCCGTCCGAGCTATTACGCAGCGATACGCCGATTGTGAACCGGGAAGAGGCCAGCACCGACTCAGTCAGTCGCCGAGGACGGCACAATTCGGCTAACATCCGTGTTGCGCCGCTGTCGCGCTACGAAACCGAGTTTACGCAGCTGTCGCGGCTTGGAAAAGGCGGCTTTGGAGAGGTAGTGAAGGCTCAGAACAGGCTGGACCAGGGCGTATATGCGGTAAAGAAGATCAAGCAGTCGACGCAGTTCCTCGACAAAGTTCTGCAGGAGGTGATCTTGCTCAATCGACTCAACCACCCGTATGTGGTCCGATATTTTGCGACCTGGATTGAAGCAGAAGTGGAGAAAGAGGAGGATGCCGTCTCCACCAGCAGCGAAGAGTCTTCGCCTGGTGTAGACTTCGGATACAGCACGGGCGGAATAGACTTCGTGAGCAACTCTCACGCGGGCTTCGAATTCGGCAACGATAGCGAAGGTATGACTCCGTTGCATGACTTGAACAACGCGGACCCAATACTAATCCAGGAAATGCAGATGAGTCCGTGGAGGGAGAGGGCAGCGAAGGTGAGTCGATGCATGATCCACCGAAGACCGTAGACAGAGCACCTTCGACTCCGCACAGCAGCGTCGCATCACATGCTAGCAGAAAGAGCTGGGTGGCACGGCCCCGTTGTTTGCAAGAAACGAATCGGCGTATGATCGTGCGTGAGTTGTGGCAACACGCTCACAGTGGCAATCTGCTTCACACGGCGAACACGCACATCTTCCTGCCAATGCAGCACGAGTGGCCTGGTCTGGCTTCTTTTTCTCAGCTGCCGACCACTGTGAACTGCTGTGCTGCTCACATCATCACGCTCGCTTTGTCTACGGTCTAGGTATAATCTTTGCTAGCGGGTAGAAACTGACATGTTGCAGAAGACTTCTTCGACCGCGAGGGAGAAGAAGAAGAAGAAGAAGAAGAAGAAGAAGGTGACGAGGGTATGTACTCACCTGTGGCACATAACTTGCATCTCCACTCCATGCCCTTTGCACGACCGAGCTTTCAGATATCCAACTGACATGCGACAGAAACTCTCACCGATTCGGAGCTGCCTGGCACCTCCACCGCTTCCGGCGCCTCAAAGAGTGGGCCACGCCAATCCACTCTGTACATCCAGATGGAGCTGTGCGACAAGCGCTCGTTGCGCAACCTCATTCGAGATGGCATGACCAGCGACGAGGTCTTTAGATTCGCGCGACAAATCACAGAGGGTCTGGACCATATCCACAGCAACGCCATCATACACCGTGACCTAAAGCCAGACAACGTATTCATCGACAGCGTTGGCAACCCCAAGATCGGCGATTTTGGCCTTGCCACCACCAGTCAATACACCGACCCAACAGCCGGATCAAAGGAAAGTGGAAGCGGCGATATGACCAGAAGCGTAGGGACTGCCTTGTACGTTGCGCCAGAACTTCAGTCGACAGGCAACGGGCGACCCAGCGATAAGGTGGACATGTTTTCTTTGGGAATCATCATATACGAGATGAGCCAACCGTTCGGCACAGCGATGGAACGCGTGGTCGAGCTGAATAGAATCAGGAAGAAAGGCGAAACACTGCCCGAGGCGTACTTGGTGAGTGGAACTCCTTTGGCGACTGCTGATGTGATGTACTCTATCTAGGTCACTCACTGCCATGTCTGCCAAGCCTGCCGCCAGCCGTCGAAAGCCAAATGGCCTGGATGCCTGGAACACGACTCGCCTGGACCTCATCAGACTGGATCTCACGGGCTCTATCAGTATCGAGAAGAAACATGCTGACTCAATCGTTCTGTAGGACGACAACGAGAAAGCCCGAGAAGGACGACTTATCAACTGCCTTATCGCCCACAAGCCGAGCGAGCGACTAAGCAGTGCTGAGCTGCTGCGAGATGACCGACTACCGATCAACATTGAAGATGCCACTGTGCGCAAAGCCCTAGGCACGCTCACCGATCCGAATTCACCTTATCACCAGACCTTCATGTCGGCAGTATTCGCTCAGTCCAAGAGTGCTACTACCGCCAAAGCGAAGAGCCTACCCTGGGAAGTGAAGGCCAATACCAAGCCGGACGATCCCGAACGCGTGCGCCTACGCGGCATCACAAGAACAGCACTTGAGACCGTCTTCCGACGCCACTGTGCAGAGGAGGTCCGGAGAGACTTCATATTTCCACGCTCGCACTATTATCAAGGAAATGATGTGGTGCAGCTCCTTGATGCATCGGGAAATGTATTGCAGCTGCCATACGACCTCACGCTACCATATGCGCGACAGTTGGCGCGACAGCCAGCCTCGACGAGGTGCACATTTACGGTCAGTGGCGCCTATCGCGATCCGGGAAATGGCGGACCTCCAAAGAACACCGTTGAGGCTGATTTCGACATCATTAACAACGGTGAAGACAAGGACATCACCATCAACGATGCAGAGATCCTCCAGGTCATGGACGAAATACTCTCTGAGCTGCCGTTCTTTGCACCTGACGGCTCGGTCTATTACTGGATGACTCATGGCGCACTGGTAGAGGCAGTCATGGATCACTGCCGCGTATCCCACGAACACAGGTCTCAAGTGAAGAACTTGGTGTCTCGCCTTGGTTTTGATCGAGCCTGGGACGGGCTACAGTCCGAGCTCCGTAAGGTGGGGCTCACTGATACAACGCTGGCAGATTTGAAGAAGTTTGACTGGCATGACTCGCCAGAGAAGGCCTTCAAGAAGCTTGATACATTGTTCTCGGACGCAACAGAACGGATCCGTCGGCATGCCACTATTGCCATGAACGAGCTGCGAAAGATCTACGATCTGGCAATCAGTGCTTATGGGCTCTCTCGCAAGCTTCAGATCAGACCATTGAGTTGTTGGAACGTGAAATTCTACACCACTGGAATGCTTTTCCAATGCGTTGTTGAAGATAGGAAGCACAGTCGGACTCCCATCGCTGCTGGTGGACGCTACGACAGCCTCATTAGTGCTCATCGGATACTGGAGAACTCGACAGCATCACAGCAGGGCGCGGTCGGTCTCGTATTCGCTGTTGACTCCTTCGTTACCAACATCTTGAAGACTACCGCTGCGGGCACGAAGAATAAATTCACTAAGAAGACATCGAGCACTCAGCCACTTGCGAAACGAGGAGACGTGCTCGTCGTCGCTGGTGGTACAGAAGGTGTTCAAGCTGCAGGTATCAAGCTCGTCGCATCACTCTGGGCAAAAGGAGTCTCTGCCGAGCTTGCCCGCGATCAAGACAGCAGATCGATGAGCCATCTATTCGTTGTCCACCTGAGGCACGAAGCTTCGACGACAGTCAGGTTTACTAGCACTGACAACGACGCCGAAGATGTCGATATTGCTGTCAACAATCTTGCCAGCCATGTGCAACAGGAACTGCGCGTGAGGGCACAGAGCAAAAATCACATGTCTCTCTTGCCAAGCGCTTCCAGCCATCAGGAATCCGATCAGAGAGGCAAGGTGCAAGTTCTCATGGTAGAGAGAGGAGGCAAGAAAGAAAATAAATTTTCGATTGTTGAGAATGCTCATTCTCGCTGGGAAGATGCTCTTGAGGAATGGAAGAATGCGGAGATTTTGGCCATCGAGGGCAGGGACAGCCTACTTGATCTTGTGCAGAAGACTAAGTTGAGTGATGCTGGAACTTGGAGGAATGCCAGAGACCACGCGGCTGCGACCGACAAGAATTACCTTTTCCAAATTCGGGAGGCGCTTGAGGGCTTGCAGAAGAAGTGGCAGGAAGGCAATGGCCTGCGGGTCTGTTGTGTGCACCACTTCCGTTCGGGTAAAATAATTTACTACGACTTGGGCGCCTGATGGATGGATATGATCACGATGCAAATGAGGGATGAGGGATGAGGGATGACGGGCGCTCGTACTAGAAAGAGACAGCTAGCTTTTGGGTCATTGTGAAAACGAAGAAGAACGAGATGGCCAAGGCATGGCCTTCTGCGTCCCCGTTACCAGATGTCAGCCAGGGGCCTCAGCGTTCAAGACCACTGCATGTGTGCGGACTTGAAGGTGGAGTCGAAAGAGCGAATTCGACGGGGTGAAGTGTTCATTGTCTTACTCCGCAAGTCTGTCTTTTTTTTTTGTCTCCACTACCCGTTTGGTACCCTGAAACGGGAGCGACTTAACAAAGAATCTAGGACGATACCTCGACTTCGAGCGTCGTACCAAATGGAATCATGGTTTTTACCAATGCCGTGTCCTCACGTCAAATCCCTGCCACCAGTGGCTCATCTGGATCCGTTCTTTTGGGCCCATTCAGATCAATTCGTGGCGAAGCTTGACATGGATACTTTGGAGAGCCTTCTGGAGCTCTTTGTGGAATCATTCTGGCAGGCCTCGAAAGTCCTCCTCTCCTGGAGCCTGGTTGTAAATGCAAGTGCTTCACTATCCTGGTGGCTATGGCGGGCATGGGTCATAAGATGCTGCCCAGTATGGCCTGGTTTGAGAAGGCCTACATGGGATGAGTTCGACTACTGGCTATTGGCTATCACTTTATACTCCACCATCATCACATCGCTGTCTATCCGGTTCTCAGGACACTTAGAAGGTCTTGACTACACTCAAATCTCATGGGTGGTAACTACTATCGTTGCTGCTGTCGAATACGCTCTCCTTACTGCACTAGTACTGGATCACTGGCGGTGGCGGAACATGACATTCGAGGAAGCTTGGGGGAAGAGGCGGAGCGTGTTGAAAGGCGACGACAACAGTCTAGAGATCCAGCTCTACAAATACTACGCCTCGCTCGGCAAGAAGGACCTGGATGTCAAGACACGCTTGACCATGGCGATCGAGCGAGGACAGGAGATGTTGAGGTATATTGATCCTGATGGGCAACAAGAGAAGCTGGAGAAGACACTAGCACGGCTGGAGGATTCTCGCGATATGCCGGAACCTCATGACTGGAATCAGCGAGATCGAGCGCAAAGGCTGAGTTGGCATATCGACGATCTGGATCTGGACAAGCTGGAGCTGGAAGAAGACTATTACGATGAAGAAGATGATGATGATGATGATGTGCTCACTGAGAGTGATTCGCACATCACGCCGAGGGATATTGCTGCTATACTGGAGGGCACAAACGAAGCCGAAGACCTGACTGACAGCCTTGGCACAAAGAGCGATGGAGTTCCACTAAGCAGACAACGAGCGAATCAGCCTCCTAAAATCAACATACTTGGTGTCATTCAGGAGGACGAATAGCCAGTCTGGATCAAGAGGAGATCTATCGCACTATCCATTCTCCACCGTTCCCAGCTACCATTCTCACAGTCCTCCCTGCTCTTGCGCCAGTGGCTTTGCTTTCCTCCACCGCAAAAACACCATTAATCATCACAGCTCTGATACCATTCGCAGCCTGTCTAGGCTGAGCATAAGTCGCAGTATCACGGATCTCGTCCTTATCGAACAACACCAAATCAGCTCGATATCCTTCTTTGATCAGCCCACGATCCTTCATCCTCACAATAGCTGCCGGCCGAGAGGTCAGATGCGCCACAGCTTCCTCCAATCCTCCCGCGAAGATCGTTTCGGCCTCAACATCATCATAAGTCGTGCTTGACGTCGAGTGATAAATATCTCGACTCTTCCCATTTGGCAAATCTCGAGCGTAATGGCCGAGATATCGTGGAAACGTACCCCAACCTCTCGGATGAGGTTTCGTGCTCGTCAAGATTCCGTCACTTCCCCCTGTGTGTCTGGGATGGCGCATGATGCGACGGACATTTTCTTCATGGCCGCAGTGCGAAAGGATTGTGCTGTTGAAGTTGTCTTCTTTCAAGATGTCGATGTACGTGTCGAAGGGATCCCGGTTTTGCTCCTCGGCGATTTGAGCTATGGTCTTGCCAACGTATTTGGATGCGAGTTCTGGATTCTGAGTGCCGCCAATCTCGAGGATGCTCCAGTCCAAAGTGCAGCCGTGACAGCCATCCGTGCCTTCTTCCAGGGCGAGGCGCTTGATTTCTGCTCGGGTCTTGGGATCATCGAGCAGCGCGCCTGGTTTGTCTGCGGATGATGCCCATGAAGGAAGTGTGGAGGCTAGAGTCGTCGACCCTGGAAGATACGGATATGTATCCAGGGAAATATCAACTCCTGCAGCGATGGCATCGTCGATCATTGCGATGAGCTCGTTTGCTCTTCCGGCGTTCTCAGGATAATTCATAGTTGCATGAGTAAGATGTAGTCGAACACCGATTTGCTTTGCCAACTCGATCATCTCTCGATATGCTTTGAGCGCGCCCTTGCCATATGAACGAGTGTGAGGACAGTAGTAGCCTCCATACTGCTTCACCACTTTACACAGTTCGGCGATCTCTTCATCAGGTGCAAACATTCCGGGCACATATGTGAGCCCAGAGCTCATTCCTACGGCCCCGTCTTCGAGAGCTTGGACAAGAATCTTCTTCATCTGATCCAGCTCGTCCGGCGTTGCTCGAGAAGAGTCCCATCCTTTGACCAAAATTCGAAGATTGCCCTGTGGGACGAGATAAGCTGCATTTGTTGCTATCTTCTCTCGGTCTAGCACATCAAGGTATTCTCTGACGCTTCTCCAGCGATCGAAGAAGTCTGGTGGATCTACAGGATTGCCATTCCAGCCTGAGATCTGCTCTCTGATTCGAGCGATGGATTTATCGTCTACAGGACTGTACGAGATGCCGTCTTGGCCGACGACTTCGGTCGTCACTCCCTGGGTGACTTTGGCTGTATGCTCGGGTGTGTGCAGAAGGGAGAGATCGGAATGGGCATGCATGTCGATGAAACCAGGCGATAGATGCCATGTGCCATCCTCGCAGTCGATGACTTGAATCCCACGTTCTCGGCATTGTTCGACCGCTCCAGGTGCTAAAGGGGAATGATTGTTCCAGACACGGTGTATCCTTCCATCTCGCACTAACACGCAGCCTGTGTATCCCGGAACGTCTCCAGATCCATCAAGGATAGTGGCATTCTGAAAGACTATATCGCCTTTGGCTGCTTCCGCCAGCTCAGTAGCTGACATTGGTACTTGTAGGAACGAGGAAGAACGATGTGTATCAGAGCATAGGCTGACTTACTACTGATTCACAGAAATTTGGCGGAATTGACCCCCAATGACCACATCTCGCTCACTGGATGAGGAGCCGGCGGCCAGTGGTTAAAGGCAGAGCAATCCGCCGGCTTGGCCTATCGATGCCGAAGCCGGACTTGATTTTAGTCAGCGGCATGCCTAGAAAGGAAGTTACGGAAGTCATTCACATGAGAGTTGTCACTGTTCAGTTTGGGTACTAGTACTGTAAGGGATATACTGGTGCCAGTCAATGGCTATTAGATCTCCATCAGAAGTGTCCTGCCTCTGGACGCAGATCTGGAAAATGCCAAAATATTGTGCTGCAGCCGAGCTCAGACGTCCTGCTTCTACAGCTTCATTATCAACCGAGGAGGCGTGCTGTTGGGTTGATGCCTGACTGGCGATGATGCCGGTGAGTTGAAATCAAGGTGGTATAAGAATACCGTTCTCGGGAATCTCTTGCCGTGGCGTATGGACTTCGAGCTCGTCGATAGCCATCCGATCACCGGCCTCTGAGGCATCGAAATCGAACTGGCCAGGGTATTGGCTGACGAACAGGCCATCAGATTCGACCGACATGGCATCGTCGCCATCATCGACGTTGTCGTTACCACTTGCGTTGAGATCATTGTCGTTGTCGTCCTCGTCATGCTCATCGTCATCGTCATCGTCATCGTCAGCTCCAGAACCATCCGGGCCATCGTTGGTGTCGCCGGTATACTGGTCGGCAACCACACCCTCATCCTCCATGATACCAAGATCTTCCGGCTCCCAATATTTCTCCTCCTCTGGCTTAGGTTGAATGTATTTGCCGAAGAAGTGGATCACACCCCTCTTCCAAGCTAGAACGGGATCGATGGTGATGCGCCAGATCTCGGTGTGATCACCCTTCTGCGGCTTATTGACCCAGACGCGAGTGCAGTTATTGTAGAGTGTCTTGTCGAAGATCATGAGCTTCGGGGTAGATTGCATGTATTTTCGAGCTTTGGCCCACTCTTTCTCGGTCGTCGGAGGGTGCCGGAGCCAATTTGTCAGGATGCGGACGAATGACGGAGCAAAGTCACCATTGTGGTAGGCGTTGATATTGCCATTGCGGTTCGGGACCGGCATACCGGCGAGAATGAACTCTGTCATGCCATTCGGATTTTTCCTTCGAGAGAACTTGGGATCCCACCGTGTCTGACACCAGCAGTCCAGGAGATAGGTGAAGTCGGCGTCAGTCTCATCCAAGTCTTCAATGAACTTGTAGGCATTGACGTGCTCATCAATACCTGGGATGATCCTGTGGTTGCTTTTAGTACATATGTCCCTTCCGTGATACGAATGAATGTGAGCGCATACCATGAGTAGAGCTGGTTCAGCCCAGTGGACTTGCCATTGAAGTAGATGTATACCAGGGTGCGGCTGTCGAACCTGAGCTTCTCACCATTCCAGAACTCAGTCCAGTCCTGCATGGTATGGCCTGGTTGGAAGTAAAGATCAAATGTCTCGGCGACCGTACATTCATCGAAGAACTGTGTCATGAGCCTGCAGCGGTGCCCATGCGCTTTGAGCTGCGCAGACGCATTTTCTGGTACCAGTGCATTTCGATCATAGTCGATGCCGTAGAACAGGACCTTTTCGTACGTCTTGGGCATGATATAGTCATTGTCCCAGTCTGGACTATGCTCGTCTGGTCTTCCGGTCAGCGTCTTCCCGGCACAAGTCTCTGCACAACGTACAGATCGGGCCGAAGAGTGGCTCTTGTTGCTCATCGTTGGGATCCATGCCGTTGTCCGACATGTTGCAAGTGGCTGTTGGAGTTAACGAGATGCAAGTTGAGTGTTATGCTCCGATATTCTTGTTGGACAGTTGATGTTGAGTTCAACAAGGCAGTCCGTCCAAGAGGGAGCACTATATGTCCGTGCTGACATTTTCACATGAAATGGCAAAGCAACGGCAGTAGCGCCTAGCAAGTGAGAGATCTGACAGAAATGAAGGAAGAGCGACCCCGTCCATGGAGTCGTCACAATGAAGCTAATCGGCTCAATGAATTGAATGCTGAAGCAACGTGAGTTTAGCGATTTGCCACTGCCGTGGAGCTGTCCGTCGTCGGCTCCACAGAATTAGGCATCGAGGTGAGGTTGAGCTGCTCCAAGAAACTCACCTGTTCTATCTGCATATGTGTTCCACTTTTCCTAGCCTTCGATCTTTCCTCAACAAGATACAACAGCGACTGACGAGCTCTAATGGTGGACGCGATGGCGGCAACCAACTGCAAAAAGCGCAGCTTGTATGTTCCCCGGTTTCTTACTGCGATGTAATGGCTGACATTCTTTGTAGCGACGATTTCAGCGAATCCACTGTCACCATTCTCGTCGGCAGCGACCAAGTGCCCTTTTACGTTCATCCTGGCATCCTCGCCTCAAAGTCGAAATACTTCAAAGCCATGTTCGCCGCAGCTTGGACGGGCGCGCAGGCAAAGATTTGCGGTCTTCCCGACGATGAGACCGAACCAGATACCTTCCGCCGTTATTGCTGCTGGGTATACAAAGACGTCGTCGAGATGACGATGATCGACTCAAGCGACGCTCAAGACAAGACCGGAGGTGCACGCTTTGAGATCCTGTTCAAGCTCTACATCCTGGCCGACCAGCTCGGTGACAAAGTCCTCCGCAACATGGCGGTCGACCGAATCGCAGAGGTCGAAAAAGCGACCTCATACCGTCCAGGACATGAGCTGATCAACTTGGCGTACGAGAAGACGGCTGGCAAGAATATGCTATGCAAGTTCTTGGTGGACGATGCGTTGTCCGGTACTGAGCCAGAGTGGTTCCGCACCGTCTTCGAAGAGCTGCCGCCAGCATTTGTCCAGGAGTTGAGCATCGGGTGGGCGAAAGCATCATGGGACAAGTCAGTCAACCACAAGCGACCACAGGACGTTGGAAAATGCACATACCACGAGCATGGAGAGGATGCTCCGAAGGACGAGAGCTGCACAGAGGACGAGCCGAGCAAGAACCCAGCGACTATTCCCAAGACGCCATCGAAGAAGCGCCGCTGAGTCTGCTGTATGGTCGCTGAAGGTGTGCAGTACTTTGCCTGGCGAAGCATTGGTCATGTGGCTGCAAAGCATCGATGCGAGTCTGATGTGGACCTGGTGTCAGCAAAGCAGACAAAAGTGAAAGCGTACTTAGCAGCATGAAAGATCCAACTGTGCGTGACGATCTAGTTGAAACACTTTCCAATTTTCATTCAGCAGCAACGCTTCCTATGGGCACACCTGGGCAGAAAGCATGTCCGCAACCACCGATAGACTCCTTCGCAGACTACGGATCACCACATAGGTTGCCTTACCGCTTGCTTCTCATCGGACGAGGTCCTATTGGCAGTCTCGGTGGTATTCCACTCCCATCGCCGACGCTCCTGCCATCCTTCGCCGCTTGAGCAGCGAGAGCCATCTGTATCTTCTCCCTTCGTGTCCAGTGCTCCCTCGTCTTGCTAATGATCTCCTTCTCGCTGGGCACCCGAACATCTCTTCCGTTGGGGTCAACGAAGCCCCACAACATCATGGTAGTCCATTCACGATGAAGCGAGAGTTGCCTGTTGATTGACTCGGCCATGATCAGCTCGTCAGGGCGGAGCAAAGGTCGTGGCCGGTTGACGCGAGGCGCTGTAGCAGTGACAGGTGTGGGCACATCGTCATCGTATGTTTCGGGTCTCCATATACGCTCATATCCAGTGTCCATGAAATCGCGCATTTGCTTCTTCATGATTTTCCGTGTGCGATCCATACCATGCGGAGCGTTCCGGCGGAAGCGAAATTGATGCCGCATCCATAAGTTGAGGATGTCCATTGCACGAATGGGTCGGAAGCCTGCAGCTGGATCCGGAGACCAGCCTCGCATCACCCGCCAAAGCGATGTCAAGCTCCTTTCGGCCAGCAGTTTCTCTCGCAAATTGCATCCCAGCGCTGCACCATTCGCCCATCGATTCGGCCATACCCTCTGATTTGGATGGTTGAATCGATACAGTGCCAAAGCTGGATCGGTGAAGAACATGTCGACTTTGAGCAAGAAGTGCGTGAGGAGCTCTAGTGTCTTGTTGGAGAAATACTCTCTGCAACGCATCAATGCGAGGCGATGCGCGTTCAACGGGAGGTCGAGCATGAACCACAGCCGTTTGATGGCATCACGCGAACCGCGAGGCGTCCGGAGGCCTTTCGTCACCAGCTGTGTCATGATATCCTTGACGACACCTTCTCGCCACACCACCATCTGAAGCCAGCGGAGGCTGGGCACGTCTCGCGAGAAAAGATTGAGCCTCTCCACGTCAGCACCAAAGACTAGTGCTTTGGCCTTCTGTCGTTTGATGGGGTCTTTGATGCATAGCGACTCGTAGCAGCGCCATGGGAAAAGCTCGTCTGCCCCTGGCGCCCAAGTGCGCATGCTGGACAAGATGAAACCTGTTGCGTTCTTGTTGAAGTAGTAGTGAAACTTCTTCGAAATCGCGTATAGTGAGATCAAAGAAGGTACGTCCAGATAGCCCACGAGCAAGATACATAGGGAGCTGTCGGCAATGAAAGCGTCAATGAGGCCGAAGCTCTTCTTTGGCCGAATCGCTGGCGCTTGTGCGGTAGGTGACTGCAGCCCGCGTAAAGCAAGCAGCGCTTGCCCAGATTCGAATGCTGCAGAAGGCAAAGCGCTCGGAAGAGGAAAGCCACTAGACGGTGTAGGAGCGTAAGCTGATGATGGGCGAGCGCTCGTGAGGAATGGAGACAGAACGGTGGGGGTAGTGGGAGTCTCTCTAATTCGAGGGGTGCCTGAGGAGTCATATTCAATCTCAATCTTTTTTTCGGTCCTGGTACGCTTTGATGGCGGCGCATCTGGTGGTATTGGTAGACTTGTGTTGATGCGTAGTGGTGAGGGACGACCTTTGCCAAGCTTCTTCGGCGATCTGGCATGTCGCATATGCAAGTGGTGGACGTCAGGCTTGGTAAAAGTGATTCGTGGTAGCACTGAGTCGTTCGAATTGGTTGCAGTATGGCCTAGCTGAAGAGGCGCTGGCTCGGTGTTGGTGGCATTGAAGCTGATGCGAGGGTTTTCAGTCAAGGCCGGAGAGAGCTGACCAAGGTGCTCGTGCTCCGTCGCCGCCGTCAGCATACGACTGTTGTCTGATGTGGCGTTGCTATCTTGCATCTCCACATCTTTTGTGCTCGCAGTTCCTTCTCTAGAGGTCACCAGGGAAGAGGCAGTGTCTCTGATCGTCATCGGCGCCGTAGAGATGCTTGTAGGTCGCATAGTCGCCGTCGCGGACCGTGTGTCCAGGGTTGCGGTGGTCTGGTATGGAGAAGTCTCGTGGTGCACGCTTGTGCGAATCGCGTCGGGTGCCATGTTCTGCTCGCAATGGCGGGTCCCAGTGTGGCTTGTTGCCAGTATATTGAGAGAAGTTCTCTTCGGGAATGAACTCGCTGAATGGTGCGGTTCTATATCGCTTGACTGGTCCCTTGAGAGCGCTGCGCCGTGGGCGAGAAGAGGATTTGGGATCGTATTCTTCGCTACTGCCGCTCGAGCCAGAGTCTCGTCGTCGATGGCGGCCTCTCGATCCTGACTCGGATTCGTCGCGCTTGATGGCTGATTTGGCGAAGGCCACGTCGTCGGTGATGGGGCGGTCAGGCTTTGTGTAGTAAGGCGCTGTCCGCTCGCTCTCGCGCTTGAGCTTTCTCTTGAGCCTCTCCGGGGTGACACCGCGTTCTCTGGCAACTTCTCGGATTGCATCTTCCTTCTGCTCCTCGTCGACTTTGGTTTTGCGTCTCCGCCGCTCTGATGCCTTGTTGCCGGGGCGGTGGAGGGCGCCGTCCCAATTCTTGTAGTGTGACGTGGCGAAGAGGTAGGTACCATAGATTGCGGCAGCAAACCAATACAATTTGCCGATTCCCATAATGGCATTCAAGAGAGAAGCCTCGTGCCGCTTCTTATTGACGCAACAAAGGGAGATGATGGCTGGTTGTGTCAATGCTGGATGTGGTCGAGTGTTGTTCCGAGATCAGTTTGAGGCGCGGCCGAAAATACGCACGGTTGTTTGTGCTGCGGGCCGTTGGCGCCGCCTGCTTGTCACACGTGGGCTTGGCGACCGAATGATGAAGTGAAGTGAAGTCGGATGTCGGTTGATGGTGGAAGTGTTGGTTGGTCTGGATGGCTCAGCACTATGCGCTACTTGCTCAAGCCTGGTCGGTGGTGTCGCGGACGTGGATGAGTTCAGCACTGCAGAGAGGTTGGTGATGGTCTGCGAGGCTGAGGGCGGGGCGGGGCGGGTAGTTGCAGAATTGTGAGATGGAGAAAGTGAGCTCACTGGCGGTGAAAGTCCGGAGGCGAAGAGGTGGTGGTAGTCGCGAGTGTCACAAAGGCAACCGCACTGTGAGATGACACAATGTGTAGGGCTCGTCCCAAGATCCAGAACAGGCGGCAAGATGCAGAGAAGAGGCCGGCCAGGGCAGGCTTGGGTAGCAAGCGCTGTTCCTTTCACTTGAGCTCGTACTATTATCACAATCAAACTTACGCTGCGTTGAGCGCTGGTATCTCAATAAAGCTAAGGCCTGTTGAATCGACCTTCCGCCCATGACCAGCATCCAAAACCAATGCGTGCTCCAACCATGACCCTTTTGAACGCCTTCCACCTGGAGCCGTGAGGCCCTCCCCCTTGATGCGAGCCGTCTATTTCCTTCCCAGTAAGCTCAAGAACTCGTCTCTAGTCTTCGCTCGCTTTCTCATGGCGCCGAGCATGCAGCTCGTGGTCGTGATGGCCCCGGATTTCTGTACGCCGCGCATGACCATGCACATGTGTGTGCTCTCCATTACTACTGCTACACCTTGCGGTCTTAGCACTTCCGACAGGGCTAGCGCAACCTGCTTGGTCAGACGCTCCTGCACCGAGAGACGCCGGCTAAACATCTCAGCGATTCGTGCGAGCTTGGAGAGTCCAATGACTCGATTGTTTGGAATGTAGCCAATGTGCATCTAGAAGTGGCGTCAGTTTCTATTCCAAAGGGTTTGGCCATGTTGACATGTTCATGGCATACCTTGCCAGTGAATGGCACCAAGTGGTGCTCGCACAGGCTATAGATCTCAATATCTTTGACAATGACTAACTCGTCATGGTCTTCGTGGAAGACTGCGCCATTAACCACATCCCTCAGATTCTCTTCATAGCCCTTTGTGAAGAACATCATGGCTTTGGCGTACCGCTCGGGCGTACCATGCAATCCCTCCCGATCCGGGTCTTCGCCTAAGCATTCCAGAATCGTTCGTACTGCACCTGATAGCTTTTGCAAGCGTGCCTGCGCCTTCTCGGCATCTTCACGCTCGTGTAATCGGGCCAACGTGCCGGCGCTCGGCCACGACAAGCCCTCAAAATCGATCGTGGGGTTTGCAATGATTGGACTCATGGACCGTGAGGTCGCTGGAGGAGTCATCGGCGCCTCGTCCCTTTCATCTCGTGCCTGAACCCGAAGCTCTAAATCTTCCATGTCGTGATCGTCAACTTCGGCATACTGCTTGCCAGGACTTCGCTTAGGAACAGGCGCATATGATTCTCTTCCTCTACTTGGAGAAGCTGTGTGGAGCGGCAGAGGCTGTTCGAGCTCTTCTAGATCTATAGGTTCGCGCCGTGGTCCCATGCTAGATTTTATGGCTGCGAGAACACTGTCTCGATCTTCGCGGTCTCTTTCGGCGGATGCAGCTGGATGCAGTGGACTGTGGCCGTTGACGAGATGCGGTGGAATGGGCTTCGGTCTGGGCGAAGAGAATTCGTCCATTTCGGGAGCAGAAAGAATGTTTGAGTGAAAGTCGCGCAAGGAAAGGGGTCTTATTGAGTGGTGTGATTGGGAAAAAGACGTTCCAGGCTATAGGTAGTAGTTGGAGAAGGAGGCCTCTATGTGATAGAACAAGCGATCCATCTTCGTGCTAGCTCAGGTGCGGAGATGCTGTGAGGGCGGCATTCTCGTGAATTTTTGTGTGCTTTGCAAGCCCAGGACGAAAGGTTGTCGTGACTGCGACTGCGACTGCGACTGCTCCGATCCTTCGCCCCCGCGCTCGCGGCGAAACCCGCAAAGCAAGGCCTTTGCTTTCTCGTCGCAATTTATTGTGACCTCACGTCTTGTCAGTCCTCACTCCTCCCGCCATCAACACGGCATCGCAAGTTCAAGGCGCCATTTGCAGGCTTTCGTTGCCCTACAGATATTGTCCTTGTATTCTTTGTCCTCCATTTTGGCGCGCATCGGCGCCGTTGTTGGTGCACTCTCCGCCGCGTTTCTTTCTTCTGCGACAGCCAAACTCCTCCGCTCACGGGCACTCAGCCCTCCCTTTGACCTCGCGCACCGTGCGCTGATCTGGGGATTCTTTCCCTGCTGCCCGGATCATGTTACCTGGAGAGGCCCAAAAGTTGCCCATACGCTACTCGGCATCGACAGCATGCCCCCGCGCATCGCGACCTGGATGGTTGGTGTGCTATGTGCCTGCCATTCACCTATCCTGCAGCATGTTTTCGTATATAGCCCATACTACTCTTGCGTGTGAAAGTATTCGAAGAATGGGGATGGGAAAGGTGGTTCACTCGCTCACACGGCGCACCAGCATGTCGGAGCTGCTGAGATGAGGAGGAGAGTTTCCGTCACGCGATTCACCATCTTACAGAAAGTGCTGGAGACCTTCCACGGCAGACCGAGCACGAAGAGCCAACCATTCTCGGTAATCTGCTCGTGTTGGACGTATTCAAACCGCCGAGAAGGCTCGCAGTGGTGAGCAGACACTTCAGAAGCCTGCGCATTCTCAGAATGTGCAGGCCCATACGACATCAGCACGCACACGCCACTATCCCGGTTGGACATGTTACACCACCTGCTCATCTTGGGCTACCTACTAACCTGCACGTTCGCGGCATGCTTCCTGCCTCCCGAGCCGCCTGTCAGGCCTCCGCGCAATCGTGGGCGGCACTTGGCAGCTTCCCTCTTCGCACGTGACTCCTATCGTCCTTCATGCCTGCGATGAGATCGAGGGTACATGAAGCTGGCTGACTGCCTATACATATGAGCGCTGCCAGTGAAGATCGAACTGCCAAAATGCTGGCCAGTTGAATTCCCGAACTTCAACGAGCACGCGCCCTTCGACAGCAACGGGAACATGGGTGCACATGCAGACTGAATCACTGACAATACAGGAGCAAATGTGATCTTCCCTCGTGTCTGCGAGCTCGTGGCATTTCTTGAATGCTCGGAAGTCGACCATGAAAAAGAGCTTTCGCTCAATCACTGCCAAGACCTGAGGGCGAAGAGGGGCAGCGATTGCCGTGCCTATCACCTAGAATCCTGCGCCGAGTGCACACCTCAATTGCGAAAGGTGGGCGACGGTGAGTAGGACGTGGATGGACTTCACCACAGGTAAAATCCATTGTATATTTTGATGGCCGCCTTTGGCGCAAGGACGCAGGCTTGAGCGTATTATTACTATTACTCCCGCTGTTTCGGCGCAGTCGCGCACCTTAATCGAGCCGCATGGATGGGGCAAGTTCGGAAGCAACACCAGAGCAGCGGAAGGCTACGGGGGAGGACAGCAAACATCGCAGCACTCGTTCACCTGGCCGTGAGAGCGCGCGTGTGAAGGCTCGGGGGCCGGTGGGCGTAGAGGCCGCAGAGCAAGCCGGCACCAGCAACAGCACCAGCACTCCGGCCTCGAAGCCAGGAGCCTCTGACCATCCTCCACACTTTTCCGCCTCGCGTCCTCGCCGCAGGTCTCCATCGCCCACCCACCATCATCATCGCCATCATCACCATCACAGACGCCACGACAGCAGCAGGAGCAGGCGGCGTTCTGGTTCGCCTGGGCGGAAGAGGGACAGGCTTGGGCATAATTCGGATAGTCCTGGCCGCCAAGAGCCTGAAGCTGACCGAACCTCGCATCGTGCAAGCCGTCGTCGAGAGTCGCCTTCCACGTCGCACAAACGCCGCCATTCTCGCTCAACATCCGCCGACCGCTCTCACCGCCATCGACACCACCGCAGACACCACAGTCGCAGTCCACGCGCATCCCCGTCCCGCTCGCGCCATCACAAATCTACAAGTGGCCGAGACAGGAGGGAGCCTTCCAGAGAAATTGCTGTCGGAGGGGAAAGCGTGGCCCCAGGCCGCACTGTCCAAGGCACAGTGGATACGCATCAGCCTCGCCGACGTTCTCCGTCGGTGACCACTGACCATAATCGAAGCAGGCGGCCTGCTTCCACTGACAGGCACTCGCGGCGAGTCGACTCGGAATATCATCGAGGCTCGCGGCGTGATCACGACCGCAGATACTCTCGCTCTCCGCCACGCCGCAGAAGCCGAGGAGAAGGCTACAGACGGGCATCTCGCGAGGACGAATACCGCCGTGACCCTCGCTCAAGGAGGTCTTCCCCACCGAGAGGCAGCGAGCGCGGGAGTCGGCGACAAAGTCGGTCTCCACGAGGTCGCGCTTCTCGAGCTGGCAGCCGCGAAAGCTCGCGGAGAGACCGTCGCTCTTTGAGTCGCGAAAGTCGATCGCATAAACCCACAAAGGACGACGACATGTATAACCGTGGACCGTACGACCAACGCTACGGCAGCTATCATGGATACCAACAATCTGGACATCACCCAGGCTCACCTTATCAAAATCAAAATTATGGAAGTAATGTCGGCTACTATCAACCACAACCAGCCAAGCAGTATGGAACCCCATCATACCAGAGCCGAGATCCTTTTCCCAAGCCACCAGCACGCGGCGGCGCAGCTGCAGCTGGCAGAGGAGGAAGAGCTCATTTTGCGAATCTCTCATGGACACCAAATGATGGTACCAAAGGAGGCCATCTCGTGACGCCAGTCGAGAAAGCAAAAGATGCTGCCCCAACAGCTCCACAGCCCAAGTCTGTCATCGTGGCTCCAGATCCAGACGAGGTCGACAACCCTTTCCGACCTCCCGCTGATCTTCGTGCCGAAGATGAACATGCCGCGAAACGACGCAAACTTGAATCGACTCCTGAGAAGACGGCGGAGCAGAAAGCAGCCGAGGCTGAGCGCGAGAAAAACAAGATTAGTTTCTCGATCAAAGGTCGCGCAAGCATGGCTGCCGCTGAGAAGCAACCGATAATACCAAAGTCAGAAACCTCGCCATTGGTGCCGAAGAGGCTGCCCTCCACGGTGTCTCCTCTGGTGCAGAACAACGTTCCGAAGAGCACGAACTATGTTGGCAACGAGCGTGTGGGTCCAGCGCTACCCAAGAAGCCTCCGCCGCCTGCTACACGGAAAGAGGTGGTGCGGAAGAAGCGAATGAAGCCAAAGCCGGAGCTTAGCGAGGAGTTCAAGCAGTCCGACAGTGTCTACTTCAGAAAGACCGGCAACGAATCCGTGGTAGGAAGCGGCACATATGGCAAGGTGTACAAGGCAATACATGTATACACCGGCGGCATGGTGGCATTGAAGAAGATTCGCATGGAAGGTGAGCGCGATGGGGTAAGTCGCATTAAGAGCACGCGTTCGAGTTCCGCAACTAATGATGCGCAGTTTCCGGTGACCGCAATTCGTGAGATCAAGCTCCTTCAGTCGCTCAACCACATTAACGTGGTTCCTCTCCTCGAAGTCATGGTCGAGCGCAACGATTGTTTCATGGTCTTTGAGTACTTATCCCACGACTTGACGGGTCTCCTCAACCACCCCACGTTCGTGCTCACAGCTGCTCACAAGAAGCACCTCGCCAAACAGCTGTTCGAAGCTCTGGACTATCTGCATAAGAGAGGTGTCTTGCACCGCGACATCAAGGCCGCGAACATCCTGATATCGAACACTGGCGAACTCAAGCTTGCCGACTTTGGTCTCGCACGCTTCTACCAGAAGCGACAAAAGCAGGACTACACGAATCGGGTCATCACCATCTGGTATCGAAGTCCGGAGCTCTTATTGGGTGAGACTCAGTACGGCCCGGCTGTCGATATCTGGAGTGCTGCGTGCGTGCTCGTGGAGATCTTCACCCGTCACGCCATATTCCCTGGCGATGGAAGTGAAATAAATCAGCTGGACAAGATCTACAATGTGCTCGGAACACCGTCACGTAGCGAGTGGCCTGGTATCTCGGAGCTGCAATGGTATGAGCTGCTTCGACCAACCCAACGCTTGCCGAACACATTTGCAGAGAAATACAAGGAGCGAGTAAGCGCAGAAGCTTTTGAACTTCTGCAGGCCATGTTCTTGTATGATCCTGCGACCCGACCCACAGCAGCCGATGTGCTCGAGCATCCTTACTTTACAACGGAAGAGCCAAAGCCTGCTCAGGTGGTGGAGTTGGCTGAACTGGAAGGCGATTGGCACGAATTCGAGAGCAAAGCACTCAGGAAGGAGAAGGAGAGAGCCGAGAAGGAAGCACGACGGAAGGAACGCGAGCTTCGGGATAGTGAGAAGAGGAAGGCAGAAGATGCTGCGGGTGGAGCTGATGCGAAGAAGCTGAAGCCTGCTGTTGCGGAGGGACAAGTATAGAATGCCGCTCTCGAAGCGATGAAGCGGCGCTATGGATGGATAGCTCCTGCAGCGTGATGCTGTCGGGCACGATAAAGCACTCGTTCGCCAGCCAGGTGTGTAGGCATCAGACAGGGCCATATGGACAAGCTATATCATTGCTGTGACTGAGCTGTTCTTCTTCCATGAAGGTACTGTGCAGCCTTCGATGCCTCAGGTGTCCCAATGCCGGTCACTCGCTCCAGACTTAACATGACCGTGGCTTGAAAGCAGACTTGAGCTGCACAGGCACGATATTGCCCCAATGAGCGCGCGACCACTTCCAGCATAGCCATAGCAAAAAGACGTCCACCCGCGCGATCAATGTTCTGACGCTCTCGGCATTGAATTGGTCGGCGACCCGGCGAGCTCGGTGCCGAAAAAGGGTGGACCACACCTGACATCGAGTTGTGGAAGCGGATTCCGTCCTTACATACTATCGAACCCGGGTGAGGTACCAAAGTCAGCGCAATCGTTCAACAGTAGCAGCAAGCGGAGTGCGTTCACAATCATGGTCTTCTACGAGCCGGGCAAGACCCCACACGGTCTTCCTCGAGATCCGTTCAAAGTATATTCACCACATCATCCTGCCATACCTCATGCATTCTGACACCTTCACCTCAGTCATGCGTGGCTCCACGGCCCATTGGGTACGAATCTATCAGCCCGAAAGCATGTCCCAGACACTTGCTGACCGTCCAATCATCACACTAGCTGGATATCCACCAGAAATACCACCAGCGGAATCGCCAATCTCGCCCCATTTTCCCAGTTCAACAATCTAACCTTCGATCCACCCTACGTAATGTTCAGCGCAAACCAAGATATGAATTGCAACCGTAAAGACACCGTCATAAATGCAGAATCCTCGGGCGTTTTCTGCTGGAACATGGCAACATACTCCCTCCGAGAAGCAGTCAACGCGTCCGCAGAATGGTTGAAACCCGAAGTCGACGAATTCGCCAAAGTCGGTCTGGAAAAGATGCCAGCCGAATTAATCGAGTGTCCCATGGTCAAGGAATCTCCGATCAAATTCGAATGTCGGTATCATTCTACGATTCGTTTACCGGGTAATCCTCCAATGGGAAGTGTGGATATTGTGATTGGAAGGGTGATTGGAGTGCATATCTCGGAGCATGTCATTACGGATGGGATGGTGGATTTGGGGAAGGCTATGCCGATTGCTAGGTGTGGGTATCATCAGTACGTTGTTGTCAAGGGGGAGAATCTTTTCGATATGGTTATTCCTGGAGATCCGAAGCAGTTGGTTGGTCTTGAAGGGAATGCGGAAAAGCATAGGGTGTTTGTTGATGGGCATGGAGTTGAGGCTGGGGAGAGTTGAGGAAGGTAGAGATGACAACATGTTGCTCGGGGGTTCTACTTGCGTAGCATTGACTTGAAAGCATAAGTAATTGAGTTGGACAGGGTTTAAGTGGCTTGAGGTAAGAATATAAGTATACTGTACTTTGACGAAGGAGCCGTACTTTTATCTTATTAAAACAACGGCCCTTCAAGAGCTTTCTACATCCTAATATAAATAGTATCGACTGAGGAAAGTAGAGTAGTGTTGCTACTCCGTATACCATCCTGGAGCTCGAGAGTTATCTGGGTTTGAAGGTTATGGAAAGCCGCTCACGAGATCAAAGACCTTTTAGGCGATGAAGCAAAGAGCGTGCTAAACCGCGTATATCTATATGTGTAGCATATCCATTAAGAGCCTTCCGTTTTTGAACGTTCAGCATACCGACAGCTATGATGCTTCTTACCTACCTACCAAGCGCTTTATGCTTCATCTCATTTACCTCGGCCGATGACGACGCTGGCATTATCTGCACTGGTGAGCGCGGCTCAGCACTTCTTAACAACTATCCTCGAGCCCAATGGTTACAAACTCCAGGTCAAATAGTACGACAGGGCCAAGACCCAATGAGGGTAGTTCCCCGGTCGCATTCTCTGGTAACGCCAATATCCTGGTTCGGCTGTTTCGACGATTCAATAGACCTCCTCCAGGAATGCCTGGAGTTAGATCCTCCTATGACACGTGCGTAATAATTACGAACAATTCGGGATACAGGTCGCCGTCCGAGTCGTTGCAGTTGCTGGAGGAGTCCCTGAATGGCGTGGTATAACAAGGTTCGCACAGGGAAGTCGAGAATTTTACATCCATAGCACCGGACGCTCTCGAGTAGTGCTTCACCACCTTCTTTAAATGGATCGCCGTGCTAGCGGTAGCGGCTGAAGGGACGAAAGATATTAAGGACGTTGCTGCTGATACAGCGTGTGTTGTTATAGAAGAAATGAGACAGGGAACAGAGGAGCTGAAAGGCCGTATTGCTGAGTTGGAGATGGTTGTTGGTCTCAGCGAGACTATGGTTGAATGAGCGACTGCAGTCGGCTGTATTGTACCATCATATCTCCCATCTTCCATCCTCCGTGGCATGTCGATGTGGTGCTTAATCCAGCTCTTCAGACAACTGAATGAGACCTCAAACTTGCTCGAATCGCGGACATAGGGCACGCCAAGCAACTCGTACGTAATCCTGATCTTGTCGAAGCCTCGCCTAGAGAGGTTCACATGGATGGCAATACCATAATTGGAAGGAGGTGGTAGCAAAGAGCTTGAGGAGCTCCTGAAATAGGTAGCCGTGCCATGGCAACCGTGGTTGCTAAGCAAACAACTCCTGGGATTTGCTATACCACTGGAAAGGGCGACAACATGGCCTGGAAGAGATGAGAAACGTCCTACGATGCTGGAGGGCTATTTCATGCTTCTGCCGACTCAGTTTGCCGCCTATTTTATGTGACAGATGTGTGCGACGTTTTGCAAGTCACGGTAGGGATTCTAGGGAACACTGATTTAGAGTTTCTCCAGTCCACGAAAACAAAAACATCCACACACATCCGTCGCCCTTGAAGCACTTTGCTCGAGGAAGCACGACGGCACGCATGGCTTCACCTGCAAAGCGTCTTCACATGCTCCCTTCACTCCGCTCGCCACCTTTACCGCCCTCCGCGGCCTCGCTCGCTACACAACACCGCCTCCTCCGCCGGCTTCAGCCTTGTGGGCCCCAACTCGGCGCCGTGACGACTGCCACGCAAGCGAACACCTCACATCCCAGTCGCGAGCGGCTGTTTTGTCTCGAGTTGTTTATGTCTGAGACAACATTATTGTCAGCATAGCATAAGGGGCCTCTACATCCCCCCTTCCTCCACTCCCCATTCCCACAATACCACGACACTGCAACCATGCGCGTTCCACAGAACAAACTGCAGAAGATCAAGGCGGCCATACACTGCACCCAACTTCTGCTCATATTCGTGGCAGGATGCCTGACTCTTGCCGTCATGACGAAGAATGGAGGCTTTGGAGGGCAGACGGCCTTCTACTTCGCATTGGTATGCAAAGCCCCAGCCATGGCAAAGCCTACATTGTCTTCTGACTCGACCTTCTAGTGCTTCATCACCATCCCAGCAATCCTCTACCAAGTCATGGTTCCAATGTGGTCTCGCGCCTGGCGCTTGAATAACGTCTACGCCTATGCAGTCATCGACGTTCTGTTCGCCCTACTCTGGTTCGCAGCATCCATTGCTGTCGCCGTGTGGAACGCAAAAGGCATCGCAAAAGGCAAGACTACCAAGACCGACGATACCGACACGAGCAAGAGCTCCACCAAATTTCTCTTCGCCCGCGCCGACACCACAACGAAAGACGGCACGTGCAACTCCTTCGCTTATGGCAGCGCAAGCAAGTGCTCCGTGAGTAAGGCCACTGTCGGCTTTGGCATCGTCATACTGCTTCTTTTCGCAGCAACGACGTACATATCGATACAAGCCGTTCGACAATATCGACAGAGCGGCGCTGTACCTACCATGAGCTTCAGAAACAAGAAACAGGATGCACTAGAAAACGCGGAGGAGGCCAAAGTGTGGTCCACCAGTACCGATGAGCTGAACAATGCCGATGATCGACTATCGTATGGCGGTTATGGCGGAAACACTACCTCAGACCAAGACGGCTTGCTTGGCGCAGGTCCTCGACGCTCCGGCTCAGGCGGCGTTGTGCACCCTGAGGGGCCGGATTCGTACTCTCACCTAGCGAACCGCGAGAATCTGGACACAGCCGGTCATGGTGAGTTCCTAATGTGGCCCTCTTCTGCTCCCACGAAAGGCTGCTGATTGTTCCTCTCTTAGACGTCGTCCATCCTGGAAGAAGAACACCCGTGCAACCTGTTGCCATTCCGGCTGCATATGGCGATGACCATTTCGCGCCGTCTGCTCTCAGTCCACCAGGCTATGGGACCAGTCCCAATGGCAGGGTCCAATTTCCAGAGGCCAACTACAGTGCGCTACGGTGAAGGCTGGTGCGGCGGAACGACCTAATGAGATCAAGATGACCAAGAATTGTTATTAGCAAGCGTTGTCCTTTGGTAAGCTAGAACATTCGAAGTGCCGGCTTGTTTGCGAAGTTTGGTACTAACGGACACCAGACTCCTTCTTTCAGGTACGGCTTGTTTAGCTACCGATAGAAAGGTAGGTAGCACCGGCGCAATGGATAGTACCATGTGCGCCTGCTCAGGAACGATTTTCCATCCCCACTCTCATTCCTCGCGAATGTCAGCAGCTCCATAGTTCATGCATCTGCTTTTGGGTCCATAATGTCTACTGAGTATCCTGAAAATCTTATCACTTCGAGAGCATCATCATTACCAGATCCAAAGCTACCTACAATACCTAATGAACTCGCCTACACCGAGGAAATACAGGGCGATGCAGTCGCGACCGATCGGGAAACGCGCTTGAGAAGACAATCGCCACTCCAACAAGCACAGCTGCTGCGGCTACCACTCGAATTAAGACTACAGATATATGAGCACGCAACAGGCTATCACATTGGTCTTCACTTGGTAAAAGTCAACAAAGGCCGTCTGCAGTATCGCCTTGCATGGCCTGCGTCTCCTCTGGATTACCGATGCGAGGCACAACTTCAAGTCGATGATGTGGCGCGGTTATGTCGCCAAACACGTCTCGAACTCATGCCAACGGTCATGCGCGCATATATCGTCAAATTTCCTGCTTGGACGCCAGAGTTCAAGGTGCAATGCTTGTACTGGATCAATGATGTTAGCGAAGCTTTCTGCAGGAGTATTGACTGGTACTGGCTTGAAGGACTGTACTGGCGGTTGAGCATCCATCTGCAAACAGCCGGCACATCGCATGCGGAGACGGTGTGGGAAGATGAGCGCGCAAGAGAATCGGACCCGCATCGACATGAAGCGAGTGAAAGCTTCGAGCGCAGCAGATTTGTGTTGAGATTGGACTGTGCTGGACATGTCAAGAGACGCGCGATTGCAGCTGCTGACAGGGCCGCGGACTTTTTGGAGACGTTGCTTGGTGAAAGTGATGGCAGGTTGGGCAGGAGCCAAGTTGCAGCGTTGTTGAATGGAATTGCATTGACTGGATATGAGCAAATGCGAGAAGAGGACGAGGGTGGCGTCACGGCCATTTTGCCTGCGAGATGGTCAGATTGGTGATGGCGTTAAGAATTGATTTCCTGAACATGGAGTTGTCTGACCGCGCTTATGTTTGGCTTTTGATTTGAAGCCTTGAACCTTGCTGTATCGCGCGCGCTGGGGGACTACATAAGGAGGTAGCGATGGCATGAATCTCGCTATCAACATTCATTGTTTCTTTCTTCGACCCGACGATGTTCCCGTCCTGCTGTCAAGGCCTGGCGTTGTACTGTGACATACGGCCGGGCCGAGACGACGATGTTGTCGGCATCGCCAGCGCGGAGTCAACTCAACCACAAATGTACCTTGATGCATTCATTCTACACGCCATCACATCAGATCACCGCATTATATGCAGTCCCGCGGCTGCTTAGGCGACAAGCTTCTTCGCACGCTAGCCGCCGCGAGATAGGCGATTGAGGCGTCTTGGCGAATTGGCCGCCGTGCTGCTATTTTACCATCGAACATCTCCTGAAAGCCTCCAGGCCTCGCATGGGCCACGCGATCGCATCCACGCGGAGAAATATCCACGCAGCACCACCCCATGATGGGCGTGCTCCACAAGCTTAGGGTTGCCGTCTGGGGAGAAGCTCCTGCCACCAAGGAGGAATCGCGTCTGCTCTTCAAGATCGACTGGTTCATATTATCCTATGTCTGCCTGATGTACTGGGTAGGTGGATGGAATGAGTGATCTGGACCGCCCATTGCATGCTAATGTCGAGATGCGTAGGTGAACTATCTCGATCGAGCCAATCTCAACAACGCCTATGTCTCAGGCGCGAAAGAAGATCTCGGGTTCAGAGGCACTCAACTCAACCAGATCAACACGATATTTTATGGCGGCTATCTGTTGGGTCAGATTCCGAACAACCTGATCCTCCAAAGAGTACCGCCTCGCATCTGGCTTCCGACGACATGCATGGTCTGGGGCTTCTTGACGCTCGGCACCGGTTTTACGCATCATCCTTGGCAAATCATGGTCATTCGCTTCTTTCAAGGCTTCTTTGAATCGTCCTGCTTCGTTGGCGTGCAATGGATCTTGGGATCATGGTACAAGCCTGAGGAGATCGGCAAGCGCACTGCCATCTTCACATCTTCTGGCCTGGCCGGTACGCTCTTTTCCGGCATTATGCAAGGCTCCATCTACACCAACCTCAATGGAAAAGCGGGTCTCGCTGGATGGAGATGGCTCTTCGTGATTGACTTTCTCATCACCCTTCCCGTCGCCATCTATGGGTTCTTGCTATTCCCTGACACCCCTACCAGCACGAAAGCATGGTACTTCAGCCCACACGAGAAAGTGATGGTGGTAGAGCGCCTGCCTGAGGTCGAAAAAAAGCGTGGCGTTCTTGGATGGTCATTAATCAAACGAGTCGTCCTCAGTTGGCACTGGTGGGCATTTGTTCTCATGTGGATTGCTGGTTCCAACACCGAAATGTACAGCTCGAACGCTATCATGCAGTTATATCTGAAGTCCACGCACGACTACACCACTCAACAAGTCAACTATATTCCATCATCCGTCTCAGGTCTCGGAATCGTCGCAACGTTGCTCCTTGGATGGTACAGCGACTACAACACTCGACGCAGGTGGCATGTCGGCATCTTTCTCTCTTTCACCGCCATCACATCTGGCTCGTTGATGCTTTCTCCGCCATCGAGAGCGGCGAAGTTCGCGGCGCTGATCCTGAACGGATGTCAATTCGCGGGTCAGACTGTGTTCTTCGCTTGGGCCAATGACCTGACCCGTAAAGACGATGCAAAGCGATCTGTCGTCCTCGCTAGCATGAACATGTTCAGCGTTGCTGTCTACTTGTTCTGGAGTCTTCTGTTCTACAACGCCACACAAGCACCGGACTGGTATGAAGGCAGTTGTGCGATGATTGCGATGGGTTGCTTTACGCTGATCATGACCATTGTATGCTATCTCTTGCAGCGAAGACAGGAGAAGCACGAAGCTATCGACGCTGCAGACTGGGCTTTGGAGGATATCAAGGCGGCCGAAGTCAAGGCTGCCGAAGTCAAGTCTTGACAATAGCGATCGGACTCAGGAACGGCAAATGCGATAATGTGACTCGGAATGCATTTGACACATGGCGTCGGATACGCGTAGACTGCTTGGATTCCATATAAGTCTGCGGCCGATGAGAGCTCCTCTTTCTCATGCATTTTAACGTACGTGATTGGACTGCTTCCAAAATCTTTGTGCTTAGCTAGCAGGCGTTCCGGCCAGTCGAACCTTCAGATGTCCTGTGAACCTCGACCCAATTTGCTGTCTACGTCAATGCCGCGCACTCGCTATGATAGCTCTTGGATCAATCGTATGCCTCGGACAGTTGCGCCATTTGAGAGATATGCACATAGATCTCAAGACACAAGGAATCTATTGACTAAGCTCGTTTTCTCGCTGGCATCATCCAAGGAGGTCGCTACTCTATATACATAGGAGCGATACATGGATTTTCGGCTTTCATAATTTGTCGTCGGAGCCCTTGTGTTTAGAGAAGTCCCGCGTGCCGTGACGGCCCCCCCCCCCCCCCAAATACTCGTATGCTCACGCACCTCAATGTCGACGAACGCTACTGAGCTCTCGCAGGAGGATAGGAGAAGTGAATGGCGCTGATCCGGCAAGCTAGACGGTGTTGCTTGCGTATGACCCGGCATACTCTAGAGTCAACTTGGAACAAGCCGCCAGCCTTCCGTCGCTGTTCGTGAACACTGGTAACTTAGACTTCAAGAACCAAAGTCTGACCTAATGCATTTTTGACCCAGCCGACGAATTGACCCTTTGAGTTTCTTACTTCCTTCTCACCATCTGGTCCCTTCAATTCCTTCTCGCCGTATAAGCTTCGGACGAATTCAATCTCTTTCGCAGTCAACCGAGGCTTCTCGCCCTTGGCTTTGAGGATCCTGACAATCTCGTCAGCCACCCTCTTCTCTCGTCATTCAGTCTCGGTCGCAATCAAAGGTCCTGAGTGCCAGGTTTGAAATGCTTCTGGTACTGTCACCATGTTGGAGTTGAATGCTTGGTGGGCCACGAAGTGGTCAGGATCCAACTGTACTCTGATTCCTCCCAGCAGAAACGACTTGCAGAAGGGGACCGCTGCTCTGCCGACGGTCAACATCCAGCGATGAAGCTCTTTCTCCACTTCTGGTTCGCGTAAAGGTAGATTGAGGTGGATTTCCAAAGTTCTGCCCTCGATCCAGAACGCGAGGTATTCTTGTCGTATCTGACGACATGTGTTCGCGAAGGCTGGGATCTCGCTACAGCCTGGGATGATGAATCTACGCCTTGTTGTCGAAGATTGGTCGTCCTGCGCGGCGAGCTCGTAGATCTGATTGCGTAGTTCCGAAGGAAGGTCGAAGAAGCCGGTCTTCGCCCTGTATGCTATTTCTTGTATGGGAACATACATTGGACATTCAACCTCTTGAAACTCTGCGGCCAATATCATTTTTGTGAGGGAAGGGCCGACGACTCTTGACTTTAGTTGTATGCGGCCATTGCAAGACAGCATATAGAATTTGGCTGCCTGAAAAATACTGTTCATGTTATTCCAGATGCTGGTTGCCTGAAGGATGCATAGCCACGTGTCAATTTTGCTTCAGACGGCATCGAAACGATGAATTCTGTTCTGTCACGGAATTTGAGAGGTGTATATCCTGATACTGAGACAATTGGCTGTATTCTGTTCTGTATTCTGCACGAGCTGGTGAGATGGCAGAACTCGGCCTCCGAGAACAGCCTCAGGCACCACAACGACCAGCCGACCAGCCAACCAGCCTCAAGCACCGCGACGACGAAGAACAGGGACGACGCGACCTGTAACGACCAGCGACCCGTCACGACTAGCGCATACAGCGACCCGCGACGACCAGCGAACGACCCGCGAACCCGCGACGCCAACGATGGCGCGGCGACAGTTACCTCCCTCGCTACGACCGAACAAGAGTACCTCGAATACAGCGATCCGCGACGACCAGCGAACGACCAGCGAACCCGCGACGACAACGATGACGCGGCGACAGTCACCTCCCTCGCTCCGACCGAACAAAGGTACCTCGAATACAGCGATCCGCGACGACCAGCGAACGACCAGCGAACCCGCGACGACAACGATGGCGCGGCGACAGTCACCTCCCTCGCTCCGACCGAACAAAGGTACCTCGAATACAGCGATCCGCGACGACCAGCGAACGACCAGCGAACCCGCGACGACAACGATGGCGCGGCGACAGTCACCTCCCTCGCTACGACCGAACAGATGATCGCTGGACTATCGTGGTACTCGAATCATGTTCTATTCGTGTCCGCCAGGGTATTCCAAGGGATTGGACTCGCGACCTGTCTCCCGAATGGGCTTGCGCTGCTGGGAGAACTTTATGGACCAGGACCACGAATGAGAATGGCCTTCGCGGACTTTGGTGCTTGTGCGCCTGGTGGACGTATAGTTGGATCGGCGATGGCTGGAGTCTTTGCTCTTGCTTGGTGGCCTTGGAATTTCTTCTCTTTCGCCATCACATTGCTCGTGATTGCAATCGTAGCTCAGACTACCATTACAGACCGCCAGGACCATAAGCCCGGCCTTGGTGGCCAGAAAATCTGAGGTGGCGCTGTTTGGGAAATGGATCTCCTTGGAGCTGTCGTGGGTATAACTGCACTGGTCCCCGTCAATTTCTCTTGAGTTCAAGCTCCAATTGTCGGCTCTCAGGAGCCTTATGCGATCGTCACTCTTATTCTTGGCGTTTTATTGATGCCGGCATTCTTCTGGATCGAGCTCGAGACTGCTCATAACCCGTTGCTGCCGCTGGGTGGCTTCACGAGCAGCCACGCCTTTGTCCTTGGATATCTTGTTGTGGCTGGCCCAATTTTGGTATCTGGGTCTTCTACATCTGGCAAATTCTGACAGTGCTACGCCACTCCTGGCTTCCGCATACCTGTCGCCGCTGACGATTGCGGGTGCCGTGGCCGCAGTGGCTACTGGTCTCCTGCGGCACAGAATGCGTCCAGCATGGGTCATGGTGATTGCGCGGTAAGTAGACCCAAGTGCAAAGAGTGCGAGCATCGGCGAGGAGAGCACCAATCCACCTGCGTGGTCTTAGACGATACTGCTGGCATTGATCGTACGACCTCGCGGAGTCTCGCTCGAGCGCATATATAAACGCGATGTTCATGCTAACACGTTTCAGCTCTGCGCCTTGATGACCGGCAGCATTCTCATCGCCACTGTACCTCCCAATCAGATCTACTGGGCTCAAATATTCGTGTGCACTTTGGTTGCGCCCTTCGGTAAGTCTAGGCTTCACCAATAGACTGAATCCCTCGCGCGAAGATACTGATATGTGTACTCTTCTCTCCAGGGATGGACCCCTCTTTTCCCGCCTCTGTCACAATGATTTCGGATTCTGTCGATAAAGCGCATCAAGGGATTGCGGCTAGTCTGGTTGATACGATTGTGGGTGGTCTTCCAATCCTCTTCGCCAAAACGCATGGACGCCGGTCGTTTCCTCAATGGATTCAGAGCGCTTCTCCTCCACGATATGCCGCTGTCTGACTTCATGGCGTCCGGGATGGAGAATGGCGGAACACGAGGTGGTTCGATGCTGTGTCTCTGGGCATGACTCGTGTCGAAGTTGATGGGTGGAGGGAGTTGCTCGTCGATGTTGGAGAGGACGCTTCTGCGCCAGGCAGTTTTGTCTTCGTTGGTCCGGGCTCGTTGCAGCATGATGATTGTATGAGATTCCCGCTAACGAATGTGGGCACGTGGGTGAATTACTCTACATGTATCTCTCTGGGACTGCCAGGTGGGCTTCGCGGGAACTGTCGAAGTTCATGTCAATAGTGACAGAGGACGAAGTTACGCGGACGCGTCATACGGATACAGGAGTGCTTTGTACATGGGCATGGGGTTGGCAGGGCTCGGTATTGCGCTGGCTGTTGTCTTTCTCGCCAAGCGCTGCCACGACGACAGCAAGAAGTGGAGAAGACATCAGAATAATGCGGAGGACATTGAGGCACAGGAACTCGTCGCATGTCAACGACCTTTCTCAGTTCACGATTCTGCCATGGTGCCACGCAACACCGTTTGGACTGGAGCAATAAACACTACACTTCTGAGATGAGAGGTCTAATTTGCAAAGGCAATATAGTGCATACGAAAGCTAGAAATGCGGTAGCTTTCGCATGCCAGGGTTGTTGTATACAGTGCGATTAAGCGAGATGGCGGACGGCGGTAATCCCTGCTAGCGCGGCGCTAGCCAAATTTGATTAAGAGGCTAAATAAAGCTAGCTAATAATCGATTAGGTAACCGTTAGAAGCGATAATCATTTTACAATGCTTCCGTATAGAGTTAAACAAATTTTGAAGATAACTCCTTAAAATTCTACGCTACTCTTACTTAGCCGTATCTCGGAGCTCGGCAACTATAGCTAGTTGCGGTGTCCGCTTACTAATCCGATCCTTCTAATAGCCCTATACGTTCTTAATAAGGTTTAGCTCCGGCGAATAGGATAGTAGCGCTATACGATTAGTCCCTATATTTGTATATACTTTAACGGTTAGCCCCGCCCTATAATATAGCGCGTTATCTTCGACTAATAAGAAGAAGCCGCCCTATTCTATTTCGAGCGCTAAGCGAAATAGTATAACCGAAGGTAAGACATTCTCGCAATAGTATTAGCTAGTCTATATTTCGTCCTTAGGTAGCTTAATTAGGGGTCTAACGCCGAAAGCCGAGATAGACCCTTAGAAATATAGGGTTATAGCTTTCGGCTTCCGTAGCTCGATTACGTCGGGGTAGCTTCGATTTTCGATATTATTAGCTCGCCGCGTAACCTATATTCTCGGAAAAATAAGCTAAAGACCGACCTTATTAGTATAAATCGTTCTTAGCTAATTAGTCTCAAGGAATCGGCGATACTACGCGACTCGCTTCTCTCGGATTACGAGGGACGTTTCCGAGGTTTATAGAAGTCGGAAGCGGCCGAGCCTCTCCTACGTTATTAAGCGATTAATAACGTAGAGCGACTCGTAAATGCTAAGCTTACGTACTACCTTATACTATTTCTTCCTTCTTTAATCGCGATTAGCTAAACAAGCCTCGGCTAGCCGTTTTCGGACTAGTATACCGAGTACGCGGTTACTACGGCTACGTAAGCGAGGTAGTATAATTAGTCCTTCTAGAATTCGACGAATAGTTAGCGTCCGGATCCCGGTATTAGCGCGGATTATTTAGTTATCTAAGCTATATCTAGCTATAGTATAAACGGCTATACGTTCTAGGTAGCTAGTATAACGTCGTAGCGTACGTAGCGTAGCGAAGTACGGCATTTTAATTAGCTAAATAGTTAGATTTAGTTAGTTAGTTTGTTAGATTAGTAGCTAGTTTAGTAATAAGCGAGGCGCTAGTAGTAACCGTTATGCGGGTAGAAAACGGTGCTTAAGTAGTTAAATCCTAGAAATAGTAGGAAGTAGTAGGAACAGCTAAGAAGCTTCTAGCACGTTGCGGCTATAACCGAAATTAGCTAGCGCCGCGCTAGTAGGGATTACCGCCGTCCGCTATCTCGCTTAATCGTACTATATATATCGAAAGCTTAGCGAAGATTAGTAGACCGGGATAGGATAGTATATAAGGGAGAAATAAAAGAAGCAATTATTATAGTTAGAGAGGATTAGTTATAGACAGAAGGTGCCTAGCGAGGTGTTAAATAAGTTAGTAGGGACCTTTAGAAATAGTCAATTTAGCTACCGGCTTCTAAATAAGCGCTAGCTCCTAACCGTTAAGTAAAGGATTAATATAGCGCTTTTTACGGACCTTTAGAAGAGGCTAATTTGTATGTAATCGAAAGCGGTTTAGTATAGTAAGGAGCCCCTATTCTAGACCTTCTAGGGGTATAGACCTTAGCTCTTATAGACCTATAGGCATACACTAAACAACTATAGAAACTAGAGCTATTATAGTTACTATAGCTATAGCAACGGTCGTTACTATTGCGAGTAAATACCTCGAGGAAGATAGTAGTAATAAGGACCGGTAGGCGTAGAGGGAGGGTAAATCTATACGTAAATAGTAGTACCGCTAGTTAAGGCATAACCGACTATTTAAACTAGCGAGAGTCTATAGGAAATAGCGCTTCGACCTTCTTAGTTATCCGGAGGCTAATATTAAGGGTAACTTCCGCTTTATAAGGCCCGAGTTAATAGAGCTAGTAGACCTGCTTAATATTAGTTTAATCGTATTGCTAGTTAGCCTCAAATTGCTACCTATAACGGTACTCTATATAGTCTATAAGCGGCTATCTAGTCTAGGCTTCTAGAAGGACCTAGACGAGAAGTTTAGCTATTTAGCTACTATATTAAGTTATATATTCAATACGGCTATATATAGCCTAGTAATAAGGTAGAAGTCGTTCTTATTCTTTAATAAGAGGCGGCTTACTAAGCAATATCTCCGGAGCCTAGTAGAGTCGCTATATCTATCCGTCGGACTATCTAGTATCTTTAGATATATTAACGGCACTGTAAGGAAGATTGCGAGACCTAGTCGCAACTAGAGGGTGTTCTATAATAGCTATAAGCACTTCTATAGTATTAAATTCTAAGGTATATAGCTACCGGATAGAATACTACTTATCGATAGTCCTTATCCTAGCTCTTATAGGGATAGCCGAATAGTACGCGAGTCGGGGATTAACTAGGTGTAGCATAACCTGTTTAATAATAACGATAATATAGATAATAAGCTCTTTATCTTTAGTAACTCGGCGTACGGATAGGTAGATAGTATTATCGGGTCGTAGAAATCGAAGAGAGGTAATTATCGTAACGCTATAATAGCGTAGGTCTCGAAGAAATAGTTAGCACTACGCTAGTTAGTCGAATAGGGGTTTGGTAAGGTAACTAATAACTAGCTATTCTTCGAATATAAGAAGGGGTTACGTACTAGTTTAATACTAATAGGATCCTATTATCTAGTCGCCGTATTGCTTACTAACTGCCTATTGTTACGGATCTAATTGGTTAGAGTCCTTATATAATCTTAGAGCGACGCTAAGACTAGTAGGCTAAGCTGTCGCTCTATCTTACTAGGAGCGATAGGAGCGGTCGAGAGCGATAGCGTCGCTTACGTCGCTTACGACTACAGACAAGATATCTCCTTTGTATTTAGGAACGCCGGAATGCCCTTATAGCTCGAGGCGTTCAACTTATGTTACCTACTTACTAATTAGAATTACCTTTATACTAATTATTCTGTCTCTACCTCCCGCTTGTATTAGCCTCTCTAAAGAAGCCTCGGCTTGTACGTAATAAGAAGTTACTTAACGATCTGTCGCGAGTAACCGTAATACTTTAAACGCCCTTAGGATAAGTGCCTTATTATAAGTCGGAAGGGGAACTCCCGCCCCTAGCGAGATAGGCAGTACTCGACGTACTACCTCTAGTACTAGCAATGTACTAGGAACCTATACCGGAAACGATTCTCTTAAGATCGGAAAGCTAGACTTTTATTACGGCGACCGAGACAAGTTCGATACCTAGGTTAGCTAGATAGATATATATTTCATGTTTAACTAGGTTTAAGATAACTTAAAGCTAGTCTTCGCAACGACGTTTATACGAGGCAGGGCTTAGTATTAGGTTAAACTATTTCTTAGGACCTATCTAGATAGCAACGGGACCGACAATTCGGATAGAATCTTCGTAAGCTACGAAAATCTTAAGCGTACGATAAAGAAGGTCTTTAGATCTTCTAACGAAGTTGCTACCGCAGTTAGGGTTATCTAACACTTAACTTAGAAGGGGTTATATGCCGATTACGCCGCTAAATTTTAGGAATACGCCTAACTTACGGATTAGGACGACGAAGCTCTTATAACAATGTATCGGCGAGGTCTTAAGGATAACGTTAAAGACGAGCTTATACGCGACGGTAGAAAAATAGATAATATAGGAATATTAGTTAAGGTTACGATCGATCTCGACGATAGGCTCTACGAACGAGCTTTAGAACGACGTTACGATTCTAAGACTTCTAGAAAAGCTAGTTATACTCCTAGATACAATAATAGACGAAACTATAGTACCTACGATAAACTAAAGAGGAACAACTACTACGGTACGCAACTAATAGAGCTAGACGCTACCTAGAAGGGTCGAGCAATTAAAGGAAGAAAAGGCAAGAGTTCGCCTAAGAAAGTAGGAAGATTAACTTGCTATACGTATAGCAAGGAAGGCTATATAGCACGGAACTGCCGCGGTAAGAATATAGTGCGACGCGAACAGTTTAATATAATATAACAAAAGGACTTAGGCAGAGAAGGCTACCGAATAGTAGTAGAGCTATACTCTATTAATAACGCGCCGAGGACCTACGTAGAGGTCGTAAAGAAAGAGCTACGACAAATCTATATAATAGCACGACGATAAGAACCTATATATAGAACCCTTTACTAGAGATTCTATTACGACGACTAATGCCAAATTCATTATTCTACTAAAGTAGAAGCAGGATTCTTCCCTTAGATTAGGCGACTCGTACGAGAAGATACGAAATCCTAGTTAGAAGAAGAAACGATTAATAAATCTTGCTTAGATACCGACGATAAAGAAAACCGAGATCCGGAAGCTTTATTCCCTCCCGGGGAGGAGTTAGGAGCTATCCTAGAAGTACCGGAGTCCCCTTAGTAAGAGGAGGAATAGTAAGAAGATTTAGAAGGAAGTCTAGATACCGAGGAAGAAACTACGAATAAAGAAAGTAAAGACGAATTCGGGATTAACGACGATACGATCCTTACGTTTATAATAGATGTACCTATAGTAGCGCGAACAATCGCCTTATATCTAGTACGCAAATACGAGGAAATGTTTCTAAAGGTTAACGGATAACAGAAGGTCGATCCTATCTAATTTGATTATTTCTAGATAAGCTTACAGGCAAAATTCTAGAATCACCCCCGGATACCTATAGACTATACGTACTATAACTTCATTACGGAGCGAGTACCGATAGGAAGTATAATTACGCCCTACGGATACGTCCTACCCGACGAAAGGACGATTATTACTTAAGATATACGTTAGACGGTCTAGCGATTAAATTAGTAATACCGAAAGGCTATAGTA